GACAGTTGCTTAGGTCTTGTAGTCATAAACGGGGCGAACAAAGTGGAGTTGACAGTCAGTATTCATTCGTTGAACCAACTGAGAAAGGAGAGTGCTTGAGATAACATGCTCCTCGAACACTGTTGGGAGTCCAGCATATAAACTACCGTGATAGTAGGATTTTAGAAAGCTCAAAATATGCACTCACCAAAACGCTCCGCCATGCCGCCTGCCATATATGAGAATAAAGATGGAATCTTTGTAGGTTGACATGAATCCTTGGCAATGATAGAATGCATTACGTCAGGCGGATCCTTTTCGTGGGGCGTGCGTCTTGGATGCACACCGTGTCCCCGAAGAACAGCTACACGAAGATCTGGCAGCACCAACGACGACGAGGGTGCTCTGCTCATTAACAAGCTGAGTGATACCTGGGACAGGTGGGACTTGACTTGCAACAACTCATGCTTCAATCAAAGTGTTGCAGTGCGGTGTTGAAGCTGTTGTACTGCCGCTTGCAATTGTAATCTGCTTTCTTTCTTCGCAGCGACGAGCATCGGTGCATGTGGCACTTGCCGGCACCAACTCGTGTGGTCCTAGAATCCAGCTTGCGAAGCCTGTGCATCCAGCGGCTGGAAAGATCTCGCCACTGACTGCATACTTGAGAAGCTGGCACTTGGTAAAGCGCATCAACTTGGCGCATGTGAGAATCACAACTGCTGGCCACAATCCACACCTCGGTTTTTGCCGGTGCTGCAAGTCTTATGTGGAACTTGGTGGCATGTGCAACTGCATGCACCGAATACGCGACTAGTCACATACCCGTCTGTCCAGATGCGCGGATTAGCTCTTCGGTTGAGCATTGCTCGATGGAAGCCAGCAATGGAGCGTCACGCTTGCGAATAAACTCGTGCAGGTGGGTACCCCGAGGGGGCTGGTCGTAGTAGCCCTCGCCGGCATGGAGGTAGTCTGTCGTCGCGATGAGGAGAACATTTTCACCTCTTGGCTTCTGCACCGGAAGCAACTGAACAAACATTGGACGGGGCTTGCGTTAAGCCACTAGCTAAGATGCCCACGCTGTGTAGCTGCCACAATGTCTTTGGCCAGGTGCTCGGCTTCCGGAAGTGTTAGCTGCGACAAGCCAATGGGCACAATGCGGACCTGCAGTCGTCTCCGAGATGCAACAAGATGACAAGGGGGAGCAATGACAGCCGGATACTCCGAACCATCATTGCCCTACGCTTATTCACAAGGGCCTTTGAAACAACTTGCCGGGCCACACTTGGTGCTAGATGCTGTAGGAAGGGCAGCTGGTTCTCAATGCTGTGCTCTCGGGCATGACCTCTCTCATCGATAGGGTACCTTCCCATGAGACAAAGCTACCTGTGAAGGCTTTAATCAGCTTCAACTCCAAGGAGTTCAGCCCTTCCCAGGCCACCCCACCCCAAGGAGACGAACTTGTTGAGAATCTCGGCGTCCACCTCCACGGTCCCCAAAGGTGTTCGCCATGGACGGCTGCTAAGGGCGATCCGCTCACCGATGCACCTTCAGCTTGCAGCTTCAGCTTGGAACGAATCTGCAAGACAGCCCTAGCATCCTACCTATGGTTGGTCCCCAGGAGGATGACCGTCGGGGGCACTCCATGAACTGCAAGGTGCTGGAAGGCATGTGCCACCACAGGAAAGCTGTCACCTGGGCTTGGCACGCACCTGAAGCCCTCGCCCTCTGGAGGTGAGTGCCCTGCATGATGCGCCATGGGAGACCAAGAGCATGAAGGGCGGTGCTTTGCCCGCAGTCCTGCACAAGGCAGAATTTCACCAGCTCCGAACTCCGGACTTAGCAGACTCCGACATCGGTGAACTACATCTGACAAGTCTCTGAGGGATGGGATTCAAGAGGCAGGCCTGCCAGATGTGCCTGCTTTGCTAGCAGAAAGCGGTGCCGCACGGACGCAAGGGCAGTCATGAAGATGCCGTGCAGGGAGCATCCCAAGAATTAAGTTCGTCCCACACTCAAGACCAAGGATACAGGAGGGTAGACAGTCATGCCAGATGACGAAGATGAAAGCAATGTCATTACCAAGGCGACAAGTCAAGACTGCCTCGATAATCCATCACACTGCCCTTACGCAAACAAATCGAGGAGCCAATCCTCGCTTTTTTGCTAGAAAGAAAGGCAGGTTCATGCTCGGACAGGATCGAAGATTCCAAGTTTCTGTCTCCTGGAGTCTCGTACAGAACCTTAAGAGACTCTACTCGCATGCAGCCCTGCACAATCTGCTCCTCGCAGGAGTAGATGGCACTGCTCCGGGCCCAAATCGAGAAGTGTATGCGCTCTCAATCTCCAGCATGAGCTGCTGAGGATTCTGCAAGGAGGGAGTCTGCAACGACCCAGTGGGAGGCCTGGTGAGTTCCCACAAACCAGAAGCATCCAATCAGAGCCTCCTGAACTTAGGCTGAGAGCCCTGAAGACCCTTCAAAAGCACATGTTGGGACGCGGGGCCGGTCTTAGGGCAAGCGCTTCCTGAACCGGATTCAGCAAGGTCCCCGAATCCGGCCTTGCTAAAATAAAGGCACAGTGGTGTGCGTGGCAGAGACATCGCGGCTTCTGGCTCTTAAGGCTGCTCTCTGGATTCTTGTTGATGCTAGGCTCATAATTCAAGTTCTTCTTGATTCAAGGGCTTCGTCTTCAGTGAAGGTCCCGGTAGATCTTGAATGAGCCAAGAATCCAGATGCTGTGCAGATCATGCAGGTGATCATGTCATTATCGATGCCAGCACGGGTCTTGCATTCTGTCTCCAGGCTCCAGGCTGATCTCTTTTGAGATATAGGCGGACTTGAAATACAGAGCCCCCCTGGCACAACGCGAACAGCATGTTTGGAGCTTTCTGTCCCATGTAACCTCATGGCACACTGTGGCCTTTGTGCAGGAAGGCTGCGCTATTAAAAGATGCGGAGGAAGAGCGTGCAGCCAGGCCTCGCAAATCCAGGCTACCGTCTCGTCATCATATGCACAAACCATGAATATTTTATATATGTATGTACACATGTATCTGTATATATATATATATATATATTTCATGGAAAACATGTCATATTATATATATATATATATATATGTATATACATACACACGCATGCGATCTCCTTGGTTAGAGTTCAGTTCGCAAGCTTGGCGCCAGACCCGCAAGTGCGACTAGCGATGCTCCGGCGCGTGAAAGACCACGGCGAATCCCATGAGGCGGAGATCCGCTTCGCCGCCCTGGTCCTGCCAGGCAGGAGTTTGAGGGCATAAAGGGGCCGTAGCTGTGTTGAGTATAGACCCCGAATGCTCCCCCAGTATTAGTCTTAGACGATAGGATCCTCATTGTAGGGACCGCCACTAGTCAGCACCACCAGACATTCTGTTCGGTAGCTCTCCAATTGGAGCATGGGGAGAATAGGATGTGCTCTGTCAATGATCCGCCCGCCTCCTGAACTTGCGGCAGACGGCAAGGGCCCAGCCTCGTATTCCGTCGGGACATACTCTAGACGCACATTGAGGCACATGTGCCCACAGGAAAAGACTTCCATTCAAACAGGGAGACAGACCGACTGACGGCCGGACAGACGGACGGACAGACAGATGCACGGACATACACCTACGTAGCCGCTCACCTACGGACAAACTCGCAAGTACACGCATGCTCGTAGAACTAGTAACTAGTCGCTTGCCTGACATGAGAGTTCTGAGCTCGTGCAATGGACGCCTCAGACGAGAGCGGTGTCTGGTATGTCTAGTCATTATGATATTGAGCTCCCTGCCAGAGTATCTGAGCTGCCAATGGCATCACCGCCTCTCGCGAGGGCATCTGCGCATGCCCCATGCGATTGTTTCTTCCAGATCCACGGGCAAATCCAAAGGCCACCAGCTTTGTTCTTCTTTGCCACGCTCTGGTCGTGACCCTGAAACCTCCAAGTCTACGCAGAAGGAACTGCTTCCGAGGCACCGAGACTGGTGTCCCTCAGTTGCAGGATCTGTTGGGAGTCATGGGTCGGTGCAGTTTGCTCCGTCGCCATGTCAGCACTGCATTCCCAAAACGCCCCTTCGCAATGCTTGCAGCCATCGCTGTGAACCCTCAGAAGGCTCAAGCTTGGTACCCGAGGCTTTGGTGTCCCAAGGCAAGCGATGCAAGCCAGGCCGCTTGGCTTCCAGCCTCCGGAGCACCTGCCCCAGCCCTAACTCTGCGAGGTTGTGGTGGTGGTTGTAGTAGGAGGAGTAGGAGGAGGAACGGGAGTAGGAGGAGAAGCAGCAGGAGGAGGTTTCCCATGTTTGCAATGTCACCATCAGTATTGCTACTGTACTTTGGAAAAATTCGACTTGCAGGTGCGCGTCTGGAGGCAATGTGCGTAGCACGGCGCCCGACTTGCCACAAGATCGTAAGCTGAAGAACGTAGCCGAATTTGCCGTGGTTTCACCAATCGAAAGCCCGGTGGGGTTACCCCGAGACCTCAAAAGGAGATACTGGAATGCTGCTCCCTCGAAGTACTCAATCGAAAGATTGCGCCAGGAACCCCCCCCAACCGGGATTTTTTCGCGGCGCTCCCTGTGCTTCAAAATGCGGGCGACCTGGCGAGCAAGCTCTGCGCGAGCCGCGGCCGACGTCCTGAGAATTTTCTCGCGACTTCTCTCAGGCCCTATTGCCCAAGATCCTAAGCTCCTACGCCGTGCACTCCAAGTCGGGATTTGCAACAGTTCACCTGAAAAGAGGTTGTGATCTTTGAGCCGAGCTGCAGTTGGTTGATCTTGGTGCCACTTTGGTTGCCGTACCGCTCCTGCATGGCCCTTGCAGCCTTGGGCGAAGTTCGGGATGGAGGGGGGAACAAATATCCGAACGCACAACGCTGGATGGGTGGATCGATTCAGCGCTTGCCATGTGCTCTGAAATCGAAATCTTGCACTCGTGTAGCTGGTTGGCACGCGAAGCATCTTACATGGCTCAGCGTCTGTTGGAGGCTCAAGGCACTTGCTTCGTGGGTTCTGCAGCTGGTACTTCTTGCACAGACTTGCTGGAGGGTACCTTGTTGCTTCATGCGACAACTTGCAGTAGTGGGCACCCAGTTTTGCTCATAAGGCTTTCTGCTCCTTCTCCTTTGTGTGCCTGCAAGACTGGAGGCAAAGCATGCCTACCTGTGGATGAGGCTATGTGTTTCCTGCATCCGCCACCATCTAGGGCCCGGGCGACAGAAGGGACGCTGCTGCTCTTCTTCATGGATGCGGACAGGTTTGTCTGGCTGAAGCTTCCTCACTCCGGCACTGTCCAACAACAGTCTCCCATTCTGAGCAAGCAAGAGCTCTGATCGAACGCCCAACCGCAATGCATCCGGGGTGCCACGAGAAGCACCCACTTTCGGGCTTGCCTTCTGGTCGCGGCTGCCAGGTCGCTTCAGGGACAGGTTCAGGCTGTTATCGAGCAAAGCCTCAATTGACAGGTGTTTGTTCTGAAACGAGATCCAGCCCCATCAATTGCAAGCAAGGTTCGCTGCCGGTGCTGTCTGCCAAGGGCAGTTTGCTAGCGGTCACATCTTCTGCCTTTTGTGTGGCAGACACAAAAAGCTCGCACGTGATCCCAACGTGACAGCGCATGCTGGAGCCTCCCTGCTTCCGTCGCCCGTGTTCCTCACCGTCCTGACCCACTTTGTATATCTCTTGGGCACCTCAGCAAAAGCTGAAGGAGCATGGTGCTTCCATGTAGCGCAATCTGAGGCTGGCGCAGTTGGCGAGAGGGGGCGTGCGCTCCTGTGCGAAAGGGGCTGCATATCTTCGGGAGAAACGGTGTAGTGTGCCTTTGGGGACACGCAGCTTTTTGTAGCGAAAGGTACTTCGCTCGTGAGCAGCTAGGTTTCGGGCCATCCGCCGATCCCGATATCGACCTTCAGGGCATGCTTGACATCTTGAATGCCAAACCCGAGCTCAAGGATTCAGAAACACAGAAGCCGAAGCAAGTCGAAGAAGAACCGAAACTTAAAGCATTGCAGTTGACAACTCTGAATCGCAAGACCCTTTCGCCTTGACAGCAACCTCACTGCTCTGTTGGAGCACCTGACCAGGCGGAGGCGGCGGCCTCGACAAAACGAGAGCAATGCCTTGGGTACTGCCCCCATACAGTATCAATCTATAATAGGGCTACTTTTAAGGTCCTAATATATCTCTGTGCTACTGGCGAATAAAAATGCGGCGAAAGTCTCACTCTGGGGAATCATAGACCAGGGAGGTAGGAACCAGAATACTCATCACTCTTGGGAAAGCTCGGCTGCCGGCTTCGGAGTCTCCTTGAGCTTACTCTCGAGCTTGGGTACCTGGCCCAGAGCATGAAGCTTTGAAAGAAGGCCGGTCCAAAATCTGGTCCAGTGCCTCCAGTGCGGTACACCCAGAAGCTAGTCAATGTAACAAGAAACTCAGGCTAGAGCAATGCCCACATAATGCAGAGCAGCCGCGAGCAAACAAGTGCCGCAAAATGCACCACCAAAGCCTGCTGAACCCGGCAAAGACCTAGACGTCGGCCTGCAAGGGAGAGAAATCGCCCGGACCCAGGTGTCGTTCCGACCAGCTGGATGTCCTGGCAGTCTGCCATGTACCTGGCACCGACAGGTCAAACCCACCAGCAGTTATAGCACTGAGACGAGACACGCGATCGATACGTCGTGGCGCGATACTGACAGAAATCACATTGCAAAACATAGGCAAGACTTGTCCCTGATGGCCCTGATGCTTGGGCCTGCATCATATGAAAAGCCTGGTCGCTCAGCTTGTCATTCCAAAGTGAAGGCTGCAGAGGTTCGGCGGCCACGACTCCTACAACGAAGACGAAGGCGACGACTACGACTACTAGTGCTACTACTCCTGTTGCTGCAGCTGCTGCGCTGCTACTGCTTCTGCTGCTGCTGCTGCTGCTGCTACCACTACTAATTACTACGACTACGACAACGACTGATAAGGGGTCTCCAGAAGATGTTTTGCACACAGCCCATTGCGGTGTGCAGCGGGAAACGGGCCTCCCTCTCGCTCCTCTTTGCGAACAGACGCAGCGAACCTGGCAGCGGCAGGAGCAGTCTGAGCACGGACTGCGTAGTGGTCGTATGAGCAACATGTTCTGAACTAGTGGCAGCAATAGCAGCAGCGGCGGAGGCAGCAGCAGGAGCAGGAGCAGGAGCAGCAGCAGAGGCAGCGGTAGGAGTAATTAGCATCAGTATCAGTTTCAGCAGCAGCAGCAGCAGCAGCAGCAGCAGCAGGAGTAGCAGCGGTAGCAGAAGGAGCAGCAGCAGCAGCATTGGCAAAGGCAGTGGCAGCGGTGGGAGAAGGAGTGGGGCAGTGGCCGTGGTAGTAGTCGTAGTTGTAGTAGTCGATGTCGTAGTAGTAGTGGTAAGAGTAGTGGTAGTAGGAGCAGCAGCAGCAGCAGCAGGAGGAGGAGGAGTAGTAGTAGTGGTAGTGGTAGTGGTAGTGGTAGTGGTAGTGGTAGTAGTAGTGGTAGTGGTAGTGGTAGTGGTAGTGGTAGTGGTAGTGGTAGTGGTAGTGATAGTGATAGTGATAGTGGTAGTGGTAGTGGTAGTGGTAGTGGTAGTGGTAGTGGTAGTAGTAGTAGTAGTAGTAGTAGTAGTAGTAGTAGTAGTAGTAGGTATAGGTAGTAGTCGTAGCAGCAGCAGCAGCAGCAGGAGTAGTAGTAGTAGTAGTAGTAGTAGTAGTAGTAGTAGTAGTAGTAGTAGTAGTAGTAGTAGTAATGGTAGTAGTAGTAAGTAGGTAGCAGAAGTAGCAGTAGCAGTAGTAGCAGTAGTAGTGGTAGTAGTGGTGGTAGTAGTAGTAGTAGTAGGTAAGAGTAGGAGTAGAAGCACAGGAGTAAATGGCAAGAGCAGCAAGTAATGTTGTGCTAGAACCAGCATTCGCGACAGCAGCCACAACGGTAATGGTGTTGACGGCGCTCGTTATAGTAGACAAAACCTAGCAAGAACTTGTCGCTTCTGAAACTCCGATCTCGTGCTGGTTGGCAGCATAGCAGGTTCATCATCATGATGATCAATCACAAACATCACCAGCTTGTTGTCGCCGTCCTGGTACAGAAGCCGACTCTGCCACTATCATCATCGTCTTCATCAGCACTGCGGCCACGGTCATCAAAATGTTGTTGACACCATCATGGCTACACCTTCATACTACGGATAGCACCAACATGATCAGCATCATCACTTCACCATAGTCATGTCATGAACATCATCATGACTATCATCATACCGTCATCACCATCAGATGACAATAATGTCATTGGCACCACGACTTGCTGCTATTACTGGTCTATGCTCTCTCTGTGAAGGTTGGTGGGGCTCCGGCGCTTCACTCTCCGCCTGCAGCTGCTGTAACCTCGCTGTGCATGCCCGAAACTGGAAGCGCATCAAGGCAATCAGCAGAAACCGGGAGCAACGTGAGTGTGGGGTAGCAGCGATCGTCGTCATTGTCGTCGCCGTCGTCGTCTCCCGACTTTGCAGCCACGAGCACCATGCTCAAATTGGGGGGCCGGGGGCTCGGGTGCGTGGCTGGTGGAAGGCCTCCCAAAAAGGGCCGTCAGTGGCAGACTGCCTCGTACTGCGCCATCTAAAACAGGAAAAAGATAGCTACATCGTAACTGCCGGTCTCGATGTCCCCAGCGACCAGCAGGAGGCCACATCTTTCCCGGATTGATACGAAAGATCCGAGTGTGCGGCAGTGCATCAGCCAGCCCATGAGCACTTCCCCACCAATCCTTCAAAAGACTCCGTCGGGCTACGGGTAGGTTCTGGGACCAGGCGAAGTAGAAGCAGGACTTCCTGGGCTGGCCCAAACCAAGCACCCAGCAGCTCCAGAGTCTTGGAGACGTAAGAATGTTACTGATATACATATATCTATATATGTACACATATAACAATAAACAGATAAAATACATCTATATCTATATATATATATATATATATATATATTATACACATCAATATATGGCCCCATTCATCCGTGCCTCCACGGCCTCTGCCCGTGGCGCAGCATTTGCTGGACTCAGAGGCTCCGGAGACCTTCCAAACATTGCACAAGGGGATATCGTACCAGACAGGACTCTGGTATATTGGAGATTCCGAAAATGGGGGACCCAATATATCCGCCTAAGTAGTAGGATCCTCATTATGAGGACCCCAAAATAAGGTACCCGATGTCTCGGAAACTCCCATATTGTAGTAGTATCCCGATAGCCTACTTGTACATGACCCTGTATTACAGCATTGTTCCATTGCAACCTATCGTAGCTTGAACCCCTGCCCATCTGCTTCTCAGGGATACCCTGATGGACCCCAAATCCAACCCGATCCAGCCTGGCTACCGTCTCGAGAGCTCCGACGCTGGCGCCTGCCGGAAAGGGGAGAAAACCCATGACCTTCGTGTACAGTGCAATGATAGAGTGTAGCATGATGCCGGAGAGCCGTATAATGATGTAGTTACTAACAAATGAGTCAAGTGACACAAAACAGTAGAGTTCAACATCGTCTAGCGCTAAATAATGTCAACAATCAAATATGGTGTAGTGATGAAGTGCAATATAAGTCGTTTGCCTGGAAAGTACAGGCCCAGCAGTGCGAAGTAAGCAACCGAGGGCACCATTAGCCTGCTCGGCAAATTGTCGCTATTGTCCGTCATTCAGTCCCTCTCAGCCTTTCTGGCAAACCTCGCCGAGATGCCCGCCCGAATTAAACAATCAGGGGCCGCGATTTCTGAAGTTTACGAAGCTGAGCAAATTTCTGAAATTGGGGGTGCCTGGCGGGGGCCCCACCAGCTGTTTCTTTCCAACGCTGCATGTAGTATACCCTCCGGCTGCCCAATACAACGTATCTTGTACCTAGATGGATTTCATCGTAAAGCGGTGGGCCAAGGCTTCAATCAGAAAGGGTTCAAGCCTAAACCGAAGAGCCCAGACTCGAACTGTGAAGCATAGGCCTGCAGTTGAGCCTTTGGCCCCGGAGAGCCCGGAGCTCACCGGAGGCGCGTCCAGGTATTCCGAGCGCCGCTGAGGTGACGCCAAGGACTGAGGCACCTCAGGCTGCCCGTTTGCGTGCAGATGGGTTCATCGCGCTTCTATGAATCTGGGTGTTGCCGTGCGTATGACTGGTATGACCACTTAAAGACAGCATGACCAGTTGCAGGACTGCTCACTCCAGCTATGTAGAAATGAAATACCATCACGATCATAACTAGAAAGCCGCAGCCTCAGTTCCAAACAGCCTCCCGATAGTCCGGGATGTCGTCGTTAGCGACTTGGGACCTCGAGCCACAACCATGGTGTATCTCGTGATGCTCGCAGTGGTTACCTTCTGTGACATCCTCTGTCCCTCCGGAAGTAAGAGCAGCGCAAGGGAGGCTCAGGCGGTTCAGGGGAGCCGTGCCGACTGCCTGGCCGCGGCATCCCGGTCCCTGGTCGTTTCGGTCAGTCAGCTTTAAATATCGACAGGTGTACCCATGCTGGACGAAGCTGCTCATGCCTGAGAGCATCTTCGTGCCGCTTCGTAGGACACAGCGATTGACTGGTCATATCGGCTTCTGCTTCCAACTGAGACCGCTGCACCCACGCGTGCTAGCGACGGGTCATGGCTCGCTAGCTCGGCCAGCTCTTACCAAAGCTAGAGTGCTCAAGTTGCTTCAACAAAGGGCCCTAGGCCCTAGGCACCTCCCCGCTGCTCCTGGGTCGACGTTGGCAGCGTTTGCGAAATCTTGGCATGCTGCATGTCACACAAAGCCTACAGGGCCACTGAGGCCCTAGCACTGGCACAGTCCCGTCTTTTCTGGCCGTCGAGTCGTTTGAGGCACAAGGCTACAAACCCCGTGCCCAGTGGTGTGGGAAGGAAAATGGCTGTCCCACCCAGGATTGTAGATGAACCTCATCAGAGGCCAGCTAGTCTGCTTTGCAGAGTGTTTGGGAACGCGATGGGACCTCGCAGGGAGCTGCAACTTTGCAACGCCACTCTCCTGCCATGTGCTCTGCGCCGCTGAGAATTCATAGCCAAGGCCTCCAATCTCCCAAGCAATTGACCTCCAGTCTAATTGCTGGGCTGCTTTGGAAGCATTCAAGCTTCGCGTGCATGCTAATCCACCGACAAAAGATACAAACAGATTCTTCAATAAATGGTACATCTATGTAAGTCTATAACGTGTGAAATGAAAAATACATAGGCCTAAAGGCAAGTTACTCATAGACCAATCTGTGATTTCGCGTGGAGTACAGGGGCTGCACGAGCAAGCCACAAGCTGTGGCAAATGCTCGGCACTTCTGCTTTGCTACGCATCGCAAGCTTCTGTCATCTTGCCGTGGCGCACATCGCTGCACAGGTCAACCTGTCGAAGGAAGCGATGCAAGCCATCTTATATCCATGAGCAAATCCGACTCAGCAGACAGGCACCATTATGTCGATGTGTTGGCAGTATTTATTTCGTAGCATAGGCTCAGACGGTTGCTATTGCCGCACAGTCGCCGCACCAAAAGTTAAAATATGCGTATCAAGAGAACACCTTGCAGTAGCTTAATCAGAGGGCCGCGGTGGTTGCAACAGTCATGCCGTAAAAGTGTCTTCCGCACGGCAGTAAGAGATAGCCGTTCACCAAGCCTCGTGTCGTGAGTGGACCCTTTTTCAAACAAGTATTGAGACCGGGCGGTGCTCTGGCATGGCTTTCTTGTGCCAACTGCATCATTCGACCCTTATCGTTGCTGTCTCATCCGGTGCCTTCCGCCGCTTCGCTGCCGCCTGGCCGTTGGCGAGGCGCTCCAGGTGGGCCGGGAAGGACGCCGTGGGGCCTCGAAGTGCACAGCTCTGTGAGGATTTTGACTCAAGAAACTTCAGACTTTTCATCGAAAGACAGTTGAGGCACCAGGGCAGACGGGAGATGACAGTTCGGCTTCTGCCACGTGTACCTCTCGTTTTCATCTTCCTGCTCTGCGAGTCTCAAGAAAGCTTAGGCAAGTCAAAAACTCCCGGGCTATTAAAAACGAAGTTTACGTGCAACGACTCTTCAATTTTTGTGATTTCAGCCGGGGCCGGGGGTCCGCACCCAAGATGATGAGCACTGGCCCGCCGCTGCCAAACTGCCCAGGTCTGTTAATCTGGATTGTGGGTTCGGCTTTTTTGGGACGCCCATTCAGACCCATATCTTAACTCGCTGCAATGGCCTTTTAAGAACCGGAAAGACCCTTCTAAAGATCAAGGGTAGATGAGACAGCCAATTCTGTGGAACATGAAAATCCAAGCAGGCCTGCTGCTTCTCGACCTCCGCCGGCCTCAGGGAGTCTTGCGCTCCGCCGCCGGACAAACGAACTGTATTCTTATCTATCAGTTTAATATATTACATTCTAGTATATATGATATATGATCTATTATACTTTCATTGTCTCCCTGATGTCGAAAGCACCACCCTCTGACATTACAGGCACAAGGGGCCCGGACATCTCAGCCAACGTGCTATGAAGTGACTTCTCCAGCGGAGACGTGGCGGACCTGAGCCAGGTGGCTCGACAGGCGTCCGGCAGTCCAGCTTGCAAGCTGAGGACTGGACTCCACCAACATCATGGGTGTCTCGTCTGGCGCGCCGTGGCTCCTCACAAGCTGCATTGAGTCGCTGCTGTTCTAGGCTATTTACAGTACTGTCTGCACTCGGGTTCCACGATTCCCGGTTGACCTCAGCGTTGTGCAGATCTTGTCCAGCAGTTTCAGGCCCATGTAGAAAACCTGTGCTGGTCCAACCGCAAACCGCGGCACTATTGATGGAACACGAAGGTCAAGGGGCGCCCTGCGCCAACCAGCACTGCTGAGCTGGCAGGATTGGGGGATTGCCAGCGTTTTCAGCACGAGAACAGTCAGGGCAGTTCTTCTGAATATAGATGACAGATAGATATCCAGATAGATGTGGGCAAACACACCACTACTACAGCTGATTGAGATGCTTCAGTGTGTTTCAGGACTTGAGGCGTAGGAGTTTTTTCATGATTTTGAATCCGAAAACTCTTCTTTGTAGTGCTCAGTGAGTGGGAAGTGCTCTAATGCTAAGCCCTGACCCTACATACTACATACAACAAACGAAGACGCACGGACACGATATGGGCGGGGACACAGGTGAAAAGAGAAATTGCAAGTCCATCCAGACATGCGAAGAACAGAACAAGTCAGGCACTGCAAGCGAGTTTCACCCGAATCCTATGGTGTACCGCCAAATGAAAACAATAAAGGGTCTTGGGCCCCTGCGGCAGTTTGCTGCATTGCACTCTTTGCCATCTGCGCCCAATCCATGTCCTTTGGAACGGCATCCGGCTTATAGAGCTTGTTCCCGCTTTGCCAAGCATGATGCCATGATTATTCAATATTTATTCACTCGTTCTGTTACTTCGACATCGATATCAAACAGATTGACACTTACCACATCATGCGCACCTGAGGCGGAAGCCGCACGATTCCTTGAATCGTGAAGGGAACAGAGGGGCAACTCCCGAGCGCCTGACTGCCAACTGCTTTGCTTTGCTCTGCCCAACACAGAGATGGAGGTGATTGGTCTCGAAGCCCCGGTGGGTCAACGGAACCTGGAGAATTCATCAAAGCAGCTGGACTTGTAGCTTTGCATCTGCAGAGTCTCTCACGCTTGCTTTGGACAAGTGAAAGAAGTCCGCCTTCGGTTGGCAGTGTTCTGACGACAGCCGGTGTTCTTCGTCGCTTAGAACCACTGCTGAACCGTTATAAAAGTATAACTGTTGGTTGTAGCTTCTCAGGAACTCTTAACCCCTAATCAAGGAACACTCCCAATTAGTGGATTCTCTGGGTTGTGAGCTGTTGCGATTCTTGTTGGCTTGTTCGCATACATAATTTCGCCTCATCTGTTGCAACAAATATTCCAAAGAGGCTTGCGTCGGAGCCTCGGTTTTGCATGTGCAGAAATGCAATGATGGACATACCAAACATGCTAAACTGCAGTGTAACAACATCGAAAGGCAGTAATAATGATAAGAGTCCGTAGCAGCAGCATCAACAGCGCAGAGGGAATAGGAGTAGGAGTAGGAGCCGCACGAGGAGTGGCAGTAGTGGTGGTGGTGGTGGTGGTGGTGGTGGTGGTAGTTTTGGTAGTGGTAGTGGTTCATCGTCGTTGGCGTAATAGCAGAAGAGCGTAATAGTAGTAGCAGCAGCAGCAGCAGCAGCAGCAGTAGCAGTCGAGGTAGAGGCACCAGTGATTGCGCCGGTAGTGACGGCGCAACAGCAAATAGCAAAGAAACAATCCTCAAGAGTGATGACGAAACAGAAGTTCAAGAAGCCCAGGACGCGACGCGAATCTGTGCTGCCCACTAGCTCCCAGCGAAATGCGTTTCTGCAACAACAATGACACCCGACTCCAAACCCCTCACAAGATGTGGGAGTCTCAGTGAAGGGGGGGACCCAAACATAGACCCCCGAATAGTACGAGTCGAATCCCTTGAAGGAAATATGGGCCCCTGGAATAGTATGAGTAGAAGCCTTTGAAGGGTACTAAACGATAACCCCGTAAAGCCGTGCGCCAGCCCGAAGCTGCAGATCAGCTGAAGCGATGGGCCAAGGCCCTGAATCCCAAAAGCCCGGAACCCAGAGACTCCAATATCCCTTAATTAAGGAATATTCCTCAGATCGTATGAGGGATCCTACTACTATAATTTAGGGTATATTCCTTAATTAAGGGATATTGGAGTCTCTGGGAAGCTTCTCGTTCGCCTGGCAGGAGGCTGCGGCGCCCAGCGCACTGGTGATGCCTGGCACCACCTCGCAGGGGACCTGAAGTTTCTGGAATCACATAACCACAGAAGATTCACAAGATGATCTGTTTTGAATTTGAAACAGATTCACAAGATGATGACGGCCACGAGCGAAGGTGCGCAAGGCAAAGAAAACAGACTCAGCTAAACACGTGATTCGCTGCCAGGAACTCCAGCTCCTGTTGCAGGTCGCGCCAAGGCTTGAGGGATCGGATTCATCTGCGGCTCTCCTCACCCCCTCGGCCGAAGATGAAGGGATCACCGCCTCAAAGGCGCAAGTTGGAGAAGGAGAAGCATTCGGGAGGACAGAACGGCAGGATATGACTGCGTACCCTTGATTCGACGAATGCGACTGATGATTGAGACCGGGGCATTTTAGCCGAACGACGTTGCAACCACGTCGGCTGTGCACCAGCATTAAGTCATGAATCTCCTGGCACAACAAGACCACCAGAGGGTAACCCTCGGAACTCCGGAGCTGTCCTGTTGCCTCTTTTCCACATGGCTTGATTAAGAGCTGCTACCGTGACACTTAAGCACGAGGCGTAAACCTTGACGAAACAGGTGGAGGAGGGCAGTGTCTGGAAGGCTGCAGCACGTGGCATCACAGCGAGCCATAGCGAGCCTGCTGCTGGAGGCCGCGGTCCTTCCGCAATGCAAGCGGTTTCTGACGCTGCAGAGTTCCGTAAACTCGCGGATGAGGGGGGCTTTGCTAGGCTGGTGCTATGCAAGGCTAGAGTCGACTCCAAAAACCACTGGCACTTCTTTGGCTGGCTATGACCTTCCACAGCTGTAATTGTAGTTGCGGCGCTGTGGTTTGATGAGCTCGGTCACTTTACTAACTATCCATGCCCACTAACAAAACACCCTAGAGGCGCTCCTTGACATCGCCACATCGCTTGCCCACATTTATCAGCTGCGCTCGTCGAGGCACCATGTTTAACACCTGTCCGTCGCATACACCATATGACCCATCATCAGCGACAACTCCGCGTGAACAAAATACAAACTTCGGATTCCTGCCCCGTGGGTTCAGGTCTAGTTACTGCTATCTGTAAGCATACTGTTGCTATTTGGAAAAGTCTTGTCATCAAAACCACATAGCTAGAACTCTTACTGCAAGAGCCGCAAAAGCTGAACCTCCTCGGGGATGAGGCTATCATGCAGCACCACGTCGGCCGCCTGACGAGGAGGCAGCGGGCGGTTGGGGGGGGGGTGGAGCTTCGAAACAGTCGAGACACGACACTGCAAGGCAAGTGGGTTGGAGCTATTTCTTACTGCTAGTAGTAGTTCTGTTGAGGAGTGCCCTCTCGCCCTTCACAGAGAGCCTGCTGCACTAAACTCCTTAAAAAAACACTGTGCTGGGTCCTCTAGTCACTTCCACAAACAAGTTCAGCTGACAGTTTGGGATGCCGAGGGTGCAGCGCCTGGAGTTTGTGCTCTTGGGAAAAGCAGCGAAAGACTGAATCAAACTGTCGAAGAGAGGTTGGTAGGTCTGCAAGGAAGCCCCCGGTCTGTCACATCGGCACCAGGGCTCAGCACCATCATCATGAACAAATTCATAGAACCAAACTCCATGCGAGCAAACACTGAGAGAAATCATGCTTACTGCCACAGCTCCTCTGGAGAACAAGGTCATTTTGGTGCTTTTTGGACCTAGCAGCGAGTGCCATGTTCTTCTGGGCATGGTGTCCGTCCGTTCTCCGTTCCAGTAGGCCTCGAGCCGCCGAACGGCGCGCCTGAGGACGGGCTGAGAAATGCTGCCAGGTTAGAGAGCTGCCCACCTTGCCTGGGCACCGAGTACTCAGGGTAACCTGGTATATCGCTACTCGAGATACACTGCTGCGTGCTGCGATTCTTCGTGACTATCACGGTGACACTATTGCTGTTCTCGCAGTCATGGCCTTCATCAGCAACGTATCCATCATCAGCATCATCAGCACCGTCATTGACTCAACATTATCGTCGCCATGACCACCGCCATCATCATCATCCTGTTCATCATCATCATCATCATCACCATCATCGGAATCGTCATAACCATCGCCGTGGTCACCACGCTACTGTGCCTGGTTCAACTGCTTGATTGCGCCCCTTTCTCCCCCTGACCCCTCCATCCGCGAGCCCTTCACCGCCCTACCTCAACGCTCACATGACTCGATCAGTAGGGTGAGCGATATTTAAACAGTCTGTGACCTAGGTCATACGATCGTATAAAGCTTTCAAAGCCCAAAATTAAAAGCCCTGTCTGTCCTACTGCCTACACCGATCAAGAAGGGACAGAGGACCTTGCACCAAGAAAGGCTCGGCTTCTGGCAGCGTCAGCAGCTCCGGGTCGCCAGGGCCAGCACCAACGAGAGCTACAGGGCCCAGTCTCCTTCAGGCTCAACGGCTCAATCTCACTCTTCTGTGGCGTTTCGCTGGGCGTTATGTGAACTGGAGCTCAAGGCTTGCAAGTTTGCAAGCCATGCTTACTTCTGCGTTCTGCAACGCGGCCATCTGAGGATCCCGCTTTGGCGACAGGCCTGTGCTGGCGAACTTATGACTCGTTGTAGATGCTTGAAATGGTGCGATATCCGTGTCTCGGTTCATGACTAGTCTCCAAATCCTAGGCAGTTGGAAGACGTTCGAAACTGTTCGAAACTTCGTGTATTCCATTAGAACCCGGCACCGGTGTGCTTCGAGCGATCATGCATAGCACGGGTCTTTGGTCGCCAACAACTCATGACAAATCCTCTGCTGGAACTTCATGGTTTCTTCGTTTTTAAGCTTCGACTTGTGAACCATGGAACCAGACATCATGCTGATCCGGCAGCTGCATGGCACTTGAGTCCCGCTCTGTCGTCAGCCGGCGGCGACATCCTCCCGGTCAAGCAGAGGCTTAGGATATCTGAAGATGCTGCGTTGAGGCTCTGTGGGCAGCGCGAGATCCTTTTGATCCCGTCCTGGAAGAGGTCGTTGCTGTTCGCGGTCCCAAAGTCTCTGCCCGTAGGTTGGCACTTGGTCCAAAATTGCTCTGCTGAAGTAGCGGCAAGGACTGCAAACCTGCACCTCCTTCGAGTTGTGCACCATCATCAGATCATTTAAATTTCGCAGTGCACCCAGCAGACTTTTTGATCTTGAAGAAGTTGACACAATGTGGTTGGTCAGAGCCAATGGGAGATCGGAGGCACCTGATCTTACAGTAGGATGCACTGCAATGAACATCCGATTGTGCTCTCGCCTCTCTGTTTGAGCATCCATTGGCTTCAGAGGACACATTTTTGAGCCCCCGGAGACCACTGCGAGGCCAAGTGAGACGGGTGGCGCGGCACCGAATGACGTACAGCTAGTGGCATGATCCTATTGAGCCCGAGAAGCTTGCAACGAGACCAGCTACGGAAAAAGACCAGTCACACACAATTGGCAAGTCATGCGCTCCTCGGTGACGCTGGGTGGATGGATGCAGGTGCCACCGTTTGGCGGCTTCGGCAGGTGAGATGTTCTATGGTTCTCTCGGATCTTCAGAGAACGGGATCGCTGTGCCAGGAAACGATGGTAACACATACTCCCCCTGCAAGTTCCGTCTCCTCGGGTTAGGTTTGCCCATCCTCCTACACCTGGCAACAGGTGTGCAGAGGTCGCAGCCAGCGAGGAAGGCGTGTAAACAGGACTCTTCTACAGGAAACTAGTTCATGGTTGGAATAGCATTAAGATCTGAAATGTACGTAAACATGTAAGATGTTACCCAACTACGACAAAGGAAAGAGAGACAAAACCCTCTAGAAAGGCCAGCTCGGAGGGCTACTCAGAAGCCACGGGTCCGGTGTGAGACCGCCTTTGGCCCCCAGTTCCTCACGTTCCCGGCTACCTTGGATGCTTCTCTGAGGCTTTGGGACTGCGAGAATTTCGGGACTCCAAAGTTCACCTAGAAACTCTCACGAAACCTAGCCATTCGAGACTTTCGGGCATTGGGGAAGATGCCAGAAGGACTGGTAGCAGTGGGGGCCTTTGTTCAGGCTTAGCTGTTGCCCCCGAAAGGTTGATGGCCCTTCAGAGGAAACAATACGAACACCACAGCCCCTTTGCGCGAAGATCAAAGCCCCACAGAGACCACTTCCTCCAAGGCACCATGCCAGCGGTGAGCATGCCGGCCGAGTTGAGGTGGGACGTCTTGCCCTTTGGATTCCAAATCCCTTCCTGCGCGCGGGCTCTTTGGCGTGTGAGGTTCTGCGCTTTAGCTGCCGGTTGGGGCAGGTTTGTCCTTTCTGATGCCTAAAACTGCATTCAATGTCGGGGCCTTGCAGCCTGCCTGCAGTACAGTACACAATGGCTGACTCTATTTGATAGCATGGGCATGGCGATGCCGTGCCGACAGGATCCACCCGGCTTCACAGACGGCCGAAAGGCGGCGAAGGTATACTTTCGAGCCCCGAGCAAATCTAGCAGTATATGGGCTTTTCAGATTTGGTGCGGGCGCACAGGGTACCCTTGGCATTCTCAACAATGCAGGAAGCCGGGGGTTTAGCACGATTCTGATGTCGGAAACTATATTGTAAGTTGGACAAGACTTCAGTCACTAATTTTCATGTTTGTAGTGACTGCAGTAGTGGCCATCATCATCTTCTTCATCATCGCCATCACCATACCGTTGTGCACTATGTTGTGCAACACGGCAAACACGTTGTAAATATCCGCGTCTTGGATATGCTCGCACACGGCATCAACGCTTGTGACTGTGTGCCAACGTCAAGCATATACTTCTGCAGCATGTTGCATAACGTGGAAAAAGTGCAGTAAGTACCAGTCTTGTGGGCATCGTCGCCGTTAGAACCGACGCAACCCCCCCCACCCCATGCAATCATCCGAGATGTGTCGAAAAGGAAAGTAAAGCGGCACCGCTACCTTCAGATTAGGGTGCCTGGTGTCCTTAAAACAAGAAAGATCGTACTATCTGGGGTCTATCCATTTCAAGGTTCCCTGCAGCCGCTCCTTCAAGCAGGGATCTGCTGTGCTGGTCTCTGTCTGGCAGGCTTTCGTGCACATTTCCTGCCGAAGGCCTGGCGGAAGCAGAGAAATCAGATCAGGGATTTCAGGGTTGGGTTTTTAATTAGTGGAGTTTTCCTGTCTCTTGACTCGAACGATCTCGAACGTAGCCGGATCGCAAGTTCGGAGTAAAGTGCGGCATTGCTGTCGGCAACAGCTTCCGAGCTCTTTCACCACTGCCTTGCGATGGGCCATCGTCCGTCGCCACGGACCAGAGAAACTGGGAGAAGCGCATGCCCTGATGTGCGGAGTCGGATCCACTTCAGGGGCTTTTGAGCTCTCGCCAAGTGAAAGGATCTCTGTAGTTGTCGCGAGGCCTCCTTGCCGCCCTGCTCCGTCTTTCCGATGGCAGGCAGGCTTGCAGTGGACGTAGCCTGTGGACCTCGGCAAGATCTCTCGGGTCTTCAGGAGCTGAGCGGTTCCATGAGTGAGCGTAGGTTCATAAGTACAAGTATGACCATCAACTGCCATTGGCCAACAAAAAGGCGCTTAGGCAACTCTGACAGCAATCAAAACAAGCCTCAGGCCGACAGGGAAGCACATGGCGCACATGCTGCTGTTGAGCTTTTCCAGCAGAACGCGGAAAAAGTACCTGGCATCAACACAAGCTCAGTCTTCTGAGAAAGGGCTCTCGCCACCGCCACCTGAGAAGCCAAGGTGCTCCTTCTGCTTTGGTGTCATATTGGTGAACTGCCACTCAGCATCTGGATCATACCTCAAACGGGAGCTTGAACTGAAACCGAAACAAGCGCACACTTTCAGTCATCAATGCGAATGACACAATCCGGCCATTTTTTTTGCCTGGAGTTGGGCAAAGAAGCGTTCAGCTTTCGGTGGTGTGGTGTGAACCGTAAGGAGCCGACGACGTAGGAGGAAACGGTGCCTGATCCTCCAGTGACAGAAGCTTTGACCCCGAGCTGCTTAACCGACCTCTAGGAATGCATCTTGTCTTGACTTGGTCGGCCCATCTCTTTCAGTGCAACGTGGATCGACAAATAAACCAACGGAATCAGAAGAGAGAGAGAGAGAGAGACAGAGAGAGACAGCCGGGACAGAGAGAGAGAGAGAGAGAGAGAGAGAGAGAGAGAAAGGAAAAGCCGGACTCTGTTCCTAATTACTCTACCTGCTGGCATCAGCCAACCCCAACTCAAAACAGAGCAAGCCCACCACAGCAGTGTACAGCTTGAGAACCCTTCCCATGCTTCCTTCTGCTGCTTTAGCTCGTAGAGCGCTGAGATGATGAGGCGCGTACTCTGGTCCTGCGGAGAAAAAGAACCGCTCTGGCATAATGCGACTCTCCAGCTCCATCCGAGGCGAGTCGGTTGTCAGTGTGATTTGTCCTGTAGCTGGGCAAGAGTCGCATGGTCGCGCCGATATTGCGCGAACTCATGCCGCACCTGATCGCAAGCACCGGAACTGACACAGCACGAAGATGCATAAACTGTCGAGCCACTTCGCATCGGATGCGTAGGGCTACGCAAGTGCAGATGATGTTCGCACACATCTTCGTGTAGCGGTCTGAATGTAGACTAGACATCTTGTGCGAGACCTGGCTTCATGTTTTACAAGCTGTCGCCATCTTCAAAGGTCCATCTAGGCTGCTGACCATCTGCAGCGTGCTCTGGTGATCCTGCGCTTGGCGCGTGCAGTCGTCGCCAGAATTCATAGCCACGGAGGAAACAGTGTTAGCAAATAAACAACAGTTACTCCTCCTTGTAACCTACGTTTCGATCTGCCATCCGGCCTCCACTTGCCTCTGCAGGCGACTGATCTCCTCCACTGAGAGGCTAGTACCTCGGGGCGGCTGACATAGTAATCACATGCCGTCTAGCTCACAGTCGTGGCTTTGGTGAAGGAAGCGAATCGCTCTCAACGAGTCGAATTTGGGCCGCTGGCTGTGCGGATGGCTTCCAGACACCTCCCGAGAACCACCCAGCGAGAAGCTCTCCTGCACTCATGACTCATGGCAGCCAGACTGCATTTGCGCAGCCCACTGAACACGTCTGGCAACGCGCCACTGCTTTCTTGGTCCTGCTCCGGTATTGCAGACTCTGTCGACTTCGCCGGGTTGAATTCACGAGACCTTACTGTCCCCAGATGTCGGGATGATCGGATGACCATTGACTTCGCGCAAACATCTGCTACACGCATTGCTGTAGCTGGAGGTCACCGGGTGACTGGATGACCCCGAGTCCGGGGCTGCTCCTGCTGCGCAGCCTCCGATTTCAACCTGCCAAGCTCTGCGGCTGCTGTCCGAAGTCTATTCAATCAACAGAGACCGAAAGAAGGAAGCAGTCGCTAAGTGTGTCCGAGTCAACGAGGCGAGCGAAGGCCACCCCGAAAGTAACTAGAAAATGGCAAAAACTAATGAATGCCAAATGCACTTAGAAGCATACCAGAGAATGCCAACCACGGCTGCAAACAAGGCAGGGATGCTTCTGATCCATTTTCTTCAGCAGTCTCTGATAGAGATGGGTACGTCGAGCCAGCTCATTCTCCAAGTCCTTCCCGGAAACGGGAGAAGCACCGGCAAAACAGCCCACTCAGAAGTCGCGTGCTATCCTTGTGGATGAGAAGGTTACGCCGCAGTTGGGCATTCTCTTCCAGGAGCGATTGGTTCCTCACGACATCTTCGCTGCGTCGTCGAGCTTTACCCAACACCCTGCGCCCTTGGCAGATACGGGACATCCGGAGCACCGGAGCCCCAAAGGAGACCCAAGAACTAAGGCCAGGGCCTCTCCATCAGCTTTTCGGTCTCCTTGCTCTGGAAGTGGAGCTCTGTAAACTTGGCGAGCGGGCAACTTGAGGTCTGCAAATGCTCCCTTTCCCTGACCCCTTTTGCCCTTGCTCTGCTTCGACGTGAGACTGCCCCAGAAGTTGGGAAAAGCCCTGCAAGCCTGCGTGGATTCCCGCATGCAAAGCCGAAGCCCCAAAAGATGAAAAGTGAGGTTCGCACCATCTGCTCGTTCTCCATGATGGTTCTTTTCGTGGTGGAGTCCAGTTGTTCCTGGAATCAGACGGGTGGCTTAGGGCAGCCATCGACATGCAACACCTCCATGTTCTGGACGCGCGAATCCTACCGGTTGAACCGCTCGAAGCCTGTAGAGACTTGGAGTTCAGCATATCTTCCAGAGTGCAAGGTGCAGGCTTGAAAGATGTTTGTCATCTTAGAAGAAAAGCCCCATAGGCTGAACAAGGTCGCACAACACGTCCTGCTAATGTGATCACTTTAGATCTTGTCACAGCTCCGAGAGCAAACTCTGAGGAAGCTGGTCCTTCGTTTTTGCTTTGAGCATCTCGTTGGCATCCTGTACCTTTTGGACCATGTCCTGCACAGCAAGCCATGTAGTGTAGGTCGGCTTGAGCACAGAAAGCTTCGCGGACCTTAGGCCTTAAGCCTGAAAGGGCTGTAGCGGCCGACTACAATCTGTCGAGAGGGTCCTGGCGGAGGATGTCCATGTCCACGGCCTTTTTCCGGTCGTAGTCGCTCATTTTGCGAGCGAAGTCCTGCAACGTGTTTGTGCTCCAGAGAATGGTGGTGGACATGGGCGGGAACGTCGTAGCATTTGCAGTGGTATCAAGTTGTATTGCTGTTGCTACTACTATTACAGTTTTTGTTAGTATTACTATTGATTATTGTTATTACTATGGTATTTCCCGGGCCTCTTTGTTATCCTCAAGCTGTTGCTTCAGCGATGCGAGCTCCTTGCGAGCACAAACGCTGCACCGAGGAGTGGAGTTGGCTTCAGCTCGACTCATAGCTCCTTTTCCATGTTCTCCTTGTCTCTTTGGAACTCCCGGACCTGTGGCAAGATCCAATTCATGAAGCACCCGATAAATTCGCTTGCGACAGGGACTCTATACACATCTGGCCTTCTTGCCTGCATCCAGCAGAACATAATGATGCGCAGGTGCGGCCAAACAAAGGACTCGCTAAATGTCGAATGTCCATGCAGCACCGCCTATCGGATGTAGAATTACGCCCAAGCATCTACTTGCATGCCCCCGACCCCCCCACCCCTTGACGAGCAAAACCCTCGCAGGTGTGCAGCACACAACCGCAACAACGACAAACTGCACAAACTATGTCTTGAGGGGTCTGAAGGCTCCCCAACTCAGAACCTCTTTCTTGTCTCCTTACGTCATCTCCGTCTTTCCTCTTGTCTCTGTTTATCGCCTTTATCTGCGTTCTTGTGATATTGGTAGCAACCCCTCGCTGTTTGCGGTGGGGGACTGGTGTGCTTGCAGCCCGTGCCTGACAAAAACTAACTAAGAATGAATCAAAACATTGTGGTGCCGTGGGGCACCCTCAATCAGCCGACTGGAATAAGAGGTCTTCAAGAGGTGACAACATAAATTGAACCCTCAATCCAGCATTGCCCCATGTAGCAATGGAACAGATAGGCAGATTTATCCTGCTAATCTGCTACCATCGTCATCATCATCGCTACCACTGCTACTACTACTACTACTACTACTACTACTACTACTACTACTACTACTACTACTGCTACACTACTACTACTGTGAGCCTTTCTATTCTATGACGATGCTCTCATCGAGGATCCTCGGAACCTCTTCACTCTCAACCCTTCCCTCGGGCAAAACCTTCTCTACTACCTCCAGTCACACTTCTGTGGACTTCGCATGGTGCTACTAATTACACAAATTAGAATGAGATAGCAAGAGCCATCAGGAAGAAAGTAATAATGATACCAAGCTTTGCCAGACTGGACAAACGAAATTAGGTCTCTCTCCGGCCTCTTTGAGCTGGCCCTCTAACTCTTCCTTCTGCGTCTTCAGCTTCGCTATGACGGCGTCTTTCCTGACGGACGAAATTTGCACACTCTGGGCTCAAGTCGGGCGGATCCCGCAGCAGCTTCTGACTGTTCTTTGAGGCATTGGCTTGGCCATCTCCGTATCTAAATCGTCCTTTGCCTGCTGCTTTTGGTCCTCGGCGTTTGCAAGTGGGCCTGTAATTCAGACTGAAAGTGATGCTGAACGCGGTGCGAGATCCATGTCATGTCTGGCCCTGTTGCCAAGCCATCCCTTCATTTCTGCACTCAGCTGCCCACTTCGAGCTTGTGTTCCAACCTGGGCCGAACAGAAACATCGTTTGAAAGGGGGAGCTTCGGTCACTACTACAGAACACCTTGTGAACACCAGCCACACACACTCCAAAGCATCTGGCAATGCCAGCTAGCCAAGTGCAAGCCTAACTTCAGCGTGGGGTGCCAGCATGCAGCAACAATTACGCGAAACCGAGCTCGTGTTGGTCAAGCTTTTCTGCTGCCAGGGTGCTCCATAATCGTTCGCTCATGCCGCTCTATTGTGGCATAGTTGCCCTCAAGGTTCGAGTGGAGGGTCCTGCGCGATGCGTCTCATCGGAGCGACTTCCGATCTGCAAGAAGGAGACGGGAGACGGCGCGCATGCTGCATATTGCTGCATGCTTCAATGCCGTGAGATGATGCTCCTGAGGATGTCAGCATTCGTCTCGTACTGCGAGGTGTACTGCGTCTGCAAGATGGAATTGTGAACCTGCGTGTAGCAAGTGTCTCTGAAGTGCAGGATCCTCATAGAAACATGTCGTCACTCGCGAAGTATTGTTCCCCGGCTTGACCTCCCTTGCACAAGCACATTCCGCAACTGTTTCGAGAAAGAACGAGGTCCGAAACTGTGCAGTTGCTTAAAGAGGGAGCCTTCAGCTCTTTGTTCTCGGATTCGAGCCTCCACACCTCGGAGCAGACACCAAGAGCAGCAAGTTTCGAACTAGATTCTGATGGGACCTACCATGACTGCTTGCTTAAAGTCTGACGGAAGCTTCAGAAGCCCAGGAAGGGAGAGCCAGAAGCTCTTCAATGATGCAAATCCACTGCGGTCCGAAAGCAAGGCTGCTATGTCAAGCTTCAGAGCGATCGAAGTTTCTGAGGCTGCCAACCCTTTCTTGGAGTTTCCGAAGGGTGAAGTGCTCTTTGACCTGTTCAACGGAAAAGGCACATCTGGCCTAGCGGGCCTACCGCAGCATTATTGCCAAACGTTTGAGCGTTTGTAGGAAGAGTTTTCCACTCTTTCAGGAATTAGCAATGTTGCATGTGCCCATGGCAATTTCAGCAGGGTGTGGAACGAGCCATCCCTAGCCGACAGGCCTCTTCTGATCGAGGATCTGCATCCATCCTGGGATCAGCGAATGACACGAACTTGGTGGGCTCGAAAGGCAGGCCGAAACCGAACACCAAACTGCTACTGGTAGGGCCCGGACGTGTCTGCGAGATCTCTTGAAACCAGGACGATGGTGAGGACTGACTATGCTTTCAACCCTTGATCACCCGGGGCAACAGGTTTCAGAGGGCTCAGGCGTGTATGTGCTTGGTGGGGCCGGTTTGCCAGGCCCAGTGGCCAAACCTGTGCCGGTGGTGCTGATCTGTATATGACTAGACTATCCGAGGCATCTGCTTTCTTTTTGAGCGGGGGATGTCTGATATGCTGCTTTGTACATGCTTTCGCTTCCCCTGGCAGAGCTCGAATGCAAAAGCAGCCACGAAACACGCAAACAGCTGCATCAGGAGTCAGGTTGGCGGATTCCTGCACATCTAAACTTCAGCATCCATGTCGTGAGCCGGTTCTTTTTTCTTGGTCCTCCTTGTATCGCTCCGGGGGAATCCTGGCTGCCCCCTGACGAGGCCCGAAGCGGCCCTCGAAGAAGGACGGGTCGATGCAGGGAGGCGGGTACGCGCAGGCACCCGAAACTGAGGCCTCCTCGCTTGTCATCAGCCACCTAAGTCTCACAAAGACTGTCTGGTTCTTACCAGCAAATGGGTTATTGGGACTACTCCAGGAGACCTTAAGGGACAATCATCGGGACAGAAGACCCCAAAGACATCGGGAGCCAACACTCAAAGGCGGCGAGGGGCGGCTCGTGGATCAAAGGGGCGGCGACCTCCCGGCTCACCGGCCAAGATGATGCTAACTGCGGCTAGCAGGGCATAAGGGGCAGAGAACCGCTGAGTGCCTGCTCCAACTCTGGCAGCCAGCGCTTCAGGTACACCCCGTCTGGGTCCAGCTTTTGTGACTGCCTGACCTTATGGACTTATGGAGATTCGCTCCCTCTCTCTCTCTCTCTCTCTCTCTCTCTCTCTCTCTCGAAAGTGCCGCCAGTCTCCTTCTGGAAGCCACAGTGTTAGGAGCCAACCCCCCTCAAGTCCTAAGCCAAGGAGCAACGTTGAAGGAGCTGAGGCGACCCTCCGTGAGGCCAGCGCAGCGGACCCAATTCGCCCAGTTGGAGGTTACATCCTCACGACATGGATAGGCCTTGTTCTCTGAAAATCCCATAACTCCCACATCCCCGGCAAATTTCGAGCACCAAGCAAGGGTTGTGGGCACGTTACTGGGCCACTCAAGCAGCCTGAATCAAGTTTCGATGAACGCCTTGCTCCAATCCAAACAACGAGTAAGACTGCAGTTGGATCTTTGATCACGGGTAAGGTGCCACACTAAGTTAGAGTTGCAGTCGTGGCACGAATCCTTGGCCGGATCCCAGCCACAACATTTGTCTTCGGATCCCTGTGCGGCAAAGTGGCATAGTCCAGAAGATGGCTTTCAAACCAATCCGCGCCTCTCCTGCAAACTCTAGAATATCTGGTCAAGTCCGTTTTGCTATCGCTGCGTTCGCGCACATGCGTGCAATACCCAAGCAAGCCATTCACCCTGGAGCAAAACCCTCAAGTATGTTGCGGCAAGCGCCGTCGCAGAAATTTAGGACGGATCTTGCCAGTCCCTCAAGCGTTCCTTAATAGTGCTGAAGCCACGGACAGCCCTGAGAGACGGGTCATCAGAACACTTGTTGAGCAGATTCTGCATTAATTTCAAGCACGCCGGCTTGCCCCTGCGGATTCGTGCGCAAGCTCCAAACTCCACGCAATACAAACAGAACCACGAGCTACACAACAACCAGCACTCTCGACCAAAGAGCGTCTGCCACAACAATTGTCTTGGAAGTACCTCACGGAGATGCTGCAAATACTACACAACACGTGTACATCCCCTTCCCTGCCCAACAGCTAGTTGATGCTGCTGTTGCTGTTCATGGCGTCGATGTTACCATTTCTGCTGTTGTTGTTGATGCTGTAGCGACAGCCTTCGTACTGCTAATGCGATCATCAGTCGTGGAAAAGCAAGCTCAACAACACCAGCAGCCATTGCAAGCAGCTGTAAGAGGAAGATGCATTCACGGGGAGTTAACGCCATGACAGTACCGTAGCAGTAGTGCCTTAAACCTCCAATCTGACCTCTCCTTAATTACGTTGACGGAGATCCAGCCTCCAGTCGAAGCCCATGCTGCAGGCAAGAAAGGACGCTGCATTCAGCCGCGCGTGGTTAGATGCCAGTCCAGTGGCTTCCAGCTCGCGCATGCAGGCGTCCACGAGTGGGTAGCCTGCAAATTCGCAGATCACGGAATATGGGGGCATCTCCGATGTTTTTCTTTTGGCCCCTGGCCGCCAGAATCAAGGATACTGCATACGTTCACTGGTGCTTGCAAGTCCAAGGCACCAGTTCGACCTTCCGACCAGAGATTGAACATGCGGACGTCCTGTTTCCACTTTCGCTTGTAGCCTTTTACCCCACCTTCACGGAAGATGCCGTTGCCTCGGCTGCAGGCTCATCCTCCAGGATTCTCCCAGGCTCAGTCCATCCCGAAGATTCTCGTTTGAACTTGATCCTTTCAATATTTGCTGCAGTGGGGCCATGCTTCCCAGACAGGTATCGGAAGAAGTCCCGCCAAGTCAACTCGACCACCAGGCGCTGCGTATGTGCGAGGCCCGGAGAGTGCACTTCGCAGCGGCAGATCTCTTCAAAGACCTGCGCCCGGGTTATATCAAGAGACCACTCACCAGCTCAGCCTGATGCGACTCCTGGTGCTGACCTTGCGTGGCGAGAGACAGCCATGTGCCATCCAGGGTCCCAATCTGGATGCATAGTACTCACCGAAATGCTCCAAGCGGTCTGTGTGAAAAGTGTACCTTGGCGGCTCATATGGGTGGCTGTCAAAATTAGGGCCCCATTTCGGGTACCTTACATCATAGGTGCTGTAGTATAATAAGGACTCAAAAAGGGGTCATCATGTTGACAACCACCCATATGTGTCGAAGGGGTCGATACATCAGCATTTTGATCTCAGCGACTGGAAGTCCGTCCTCACATACTCGGAGAGCCGCTCCAAGCCTGCTTCCTCCCCTCCCAAGAACTCGTCGTCACGATAGGGCTCTGGTAGCTCCTCTGCATATGGCAGATCCTCAGCACCCAAACCCTATCGAAATAAACGGAGGCATCTGTGTCGGCACCTGAGAAAGCTTGACATCGAGATCCTAATCGGCCGAGGCAGGGGCTACAGCCTAGCTACCAACACTATTTTGAGAGCTCCTTATAATATCGTTACCGATATAAATTACAAGCAGAATGGGATGGCCCCAAATCTTAGTAGAGGTGATGCTTGTTTTCTTGCTAGACCTTGCGAGCGAGGTGCACGCCAGGTCGGCTCGAAACCCAGATCCTGGGCTTCGGGCAGCGGCAGGCTCCCAAGCTCCAGATCTGGCAAGCAGGGCCGCACCAAGCGAGCTACCCGAGGAATGTCCACCTGACAGAGCGTGGGGGAGTAGGGGGCCAGGAGGGGCATGGCAGGGCCGGCAAGGCCGGGAAGGGCAGGGGCGAAGGAAGGGCATGGCAGATGTGGGTACAGGCCGGCGGAACGGGGCAGAGGAGCATGGCAGCGCTGGCGCCGACTAGACGCAGCCTGGGGAAATTCCAGGTGAGAGTTCTTTGGCGCCAGTTTCTTCACCACCATTGTCACCCCCTTTTCGTCGTGATGCTTGCATCATTATCATGATTACCTCGCTGCATATCACCACAGGGTTCATCACCAGCAACACCAACATGATTTAGTAGCGGCAGCAACAGCAAACATGCCGAAAGCATAGCATCGGCAGCAGCGGGAGCCATGGAACCGACTGAAAAGCCACCAGAGCGACAAAGATCTGTTCCCGTTTGCTGCCTGCTCCTCAGATTTCTGCACCTGCCCTGACCTGAGCTGGACCCATGCCCAGCTGTGGTGCTGGGGATCTCTCAATGTGTACTGTGCGCCCGGCCACACGCACTTCACAAACTGGTTGAAGTACCTGGGCACATGCAGCTAAACTACAAAGCCATGGAAGTCAAGCACTCGTGAACCGCGAACTGCTGGGAAAGATCGTGTACCTCGCAGAACTGAACTTCGGAAGTCTAGCCGACCATAAAACGCGAACTGGCAAGCTGCTCTGGTATGTTGTCGAGGCTTGCTGCGCAGCCAACATCGTCCTGTGGGCTTTGCCATCAACGCACTTGTACACGCGACTGCATGCCAGGGGCAGACTGCTCTCCCTGTGGAAGAGCGTGGAACCCCAGCAGTACTGCCACTGGCACCTGACGCTCTCATCCAAGATCTCAAGGTGCCACAAAGCTTAATTTCCGGACTACGTCGAAGACGCCTTCCGCTCAAGGCTCGTCGCACGTTACCGTCGATCGTCAGCTCCGCAGATGTGACCTCCTGCCTTAACCATGCTTAAATCTTGCTCAGGGAGTTTCTATTCAAACGGGAGATGCTTCGACCCAATCTCTTCACGGAAACCTCACGACAAAAAGCCGTGCCCAACTATGGACCTCAACACGATATTGTATTGTTTGGGGGCCCCCTAAACCCTGACTCAATGACCAAAGCCCTCCCACGGCTCTGGCAACATCAGCCAAAGATGCCTGGAGTAGGTACGGCTATGGGGGGAGCTACAGGAAACCCGAACTGGCTTTCTGAAATCGGCTGTCGGAGGAGCCTAGAAATCAGCACAACAAAAGGCAAAGATAACTGATTTTGAACTAGCTCTGCTAGCTCGACGAAAGCGACATCAAAAACGTCACGATGTCTGGCTTGCGGCAGCTTTCGCACACAACAAAACAAGCCACTGCGCATGGGTTTGGGATGATTCCCTAAAACCAGAAAACAAGCAAGCATGAGCTTGCTTTGCGGCCTGAGGGAACCGTCAAAATAGCCAAACTGCGCATGGGCGCTAAATGCGCCAAGAATTAGCCAACATGGGCAGACCTGGAGCTAATTTCGTCAGTTTGGTGAAGCCGAAGCTATCCAAAATACATGGAACTCCACAAACACACAAGCAAGCCAAGATGCGAAAATCTGGGGCCAATCGGGAGATAGAATTTGTCTGACAAACCCGAAAAATCAAAAAACAGCCAACGGCCTCACCTGGCCAACATTCCATCAACACCGGAGAATGACCAACTATGCCTGGATATGGTGCAAAGGCTCGGACACCGAAAGAATTTCAAACCCTCACCAAATCAAATTTAGAAAGACACGAAACAACGGAAGCCCAAATGCCAGAACAGTCCCTGCCCTCAGCTGCAGTTTTGTTGAGCCCCTGGCTGCGTGAGCACGTGCGCATCTTCTGCAAGCAGAGTTGGGAGGATCTTTTCCGGGCGGCCGACCTCCGGATTTGGAACCCCTAAACCCTAACCCCCTAAACCCTAAGCCGGAGTTGAGGGGCGGGGGATTCATGTAGTCTTGGAAGAGATCCAGAAGAGAATTTCCTGACCTTCTGAGATTCTCCCATGCACTCGGCCTCGGCCTCGAGAAGGAGAGCACCTTTGGTTAGTAGGGAATTGAGGAATGGGGTACAATTACAACTACTATTACTACCATTCTTCCATTCCCTACTAACCCAAGGTAAGAAGCAGCAGAGTTTGAACCTGAACTCTTCGCCTCCACAGCCGCCCCGACCGGCTCCTTGAGGTTTGGGTCCATTGGAGATACTATTATATGGGAGTTTCCGAACATAGGGGACCCTAGTATAGTACCCTAAATAGTAGGGATCCTTCTTATAAGGACCCTACAAGAAGGTACCCTGATTTTTTTGGGAAACTCCTCTGTCGATTTTCACAAGATGCTTGCCCTCAAAACCTCCGCGAGGTCGAACCGAGCCTTGATCAGAAGGTCGGATCCCACCCGCCGAAGCTGTCGCTTCCTTGAACATAGGAGTTTCCGAAAACTAGGGGTACCTTGTCTTGGGGTCCTCATAATAAGGATCCTATTATTTAGGGTGCTATATTAAGCTTTGGCAGCTTCAGCTCTTACGAGTTAGTTGATGCTTCGGAGCCAGCTGGGCCCCGTCTCTTTGTGAGCAGCAGCCCTGGTTGCCGTGGTGATCCGGTATGGGAGTTCCCGAAAATATGGGACCCAAATACAGTACCCTAAATAGTAGGATCCTTGTTATTATATGGATCCCGAAATAAGGTATCGCTAGTCTTCGGAAACTCCGGTATAGTAGTTGCAGTGAATCATTGGTAACATGAGTAGTAGTCATTATGGTGGTCGTGGTGGTAGCAGTGTTGACTCTCTGGCTGATGCTACCGCTGCTTGCGCCGTGCGAACCGCAGCATCCTCTGCTACGGTATGAAGTCATGATTCCCCGTCATGTAAAACAAGAATTGGGCTGCTCTTTCAGATGACTGCCCGAGGAGCAGAAAGTCGACTCAGAAGACGGAACTCAAAGAACGAAACTCTTCTCGGGACCGCTTCCAAGTCCGAAATTTTGCATCACGCAGCTCTCTGTTCGCAGCTAAGCTTCAATGCCAGGACGGACTGCAGAAGGAAAAGGGCCCGGAAACTTCCTCCAGCATAGCGGATGCGAAGACGACTCCAGAGTTCCAGCCGGTACAAGTAGGGCGTAGATTGGTTGAGTGGTGGCCAGTACGTGCCCGGAATGCGTGCCTGTTCTCAGCGTCCGATACCGGGTGCGTTGGAAGTAGCGCGGATCAAAAACCTCGGACCCACTGGCATGTAGGAAGCAATGCATCCCGCAATGGGAGAAGAGCTTCTGCAACGTACAAATGGAGTTGGATCTCGTTTAAAAGTATTGACGACGACCGTGGTAAACAATGACAATGCCGGCAGTGATCTGGGAAAGAGAAACCGTCGGCTGCATAGTAAGCTCAGAAGACCTCGTTGAAGAAAGTTCAGCTTCTTGCTAACACCAATAAGGTGACTTGTGCGACTAATGTGGCTATTAGAGTGCTGGTTTCCGGTACATGCTGGTTTCCGGTACAAACAGCATCAGGACTTGTCTGTAGTCAACATCAGTTGTTGTTGGTTCGATCACCGTACTATCTTCGCCATCATCGCCATGTCGTCACCATCCTCAGCAATCTGTTATGGATGCATCCACGTCCTGATCCTCCTCATCGTCAGATTCGTCAGCAACATCATTTACAGCAGCAACAACATCATGATCACCATCACCACCATCATTGGAGTAATAAACTGACTGCAACCATGAACATTATGACCATCATCGTATTCCTCGATGTCCTTCAGGTGTTGCCTCAGCTTCTCTCTCAGACGCGAGCATAAACTGGAAGCACACGCAGGTCCTTCCTGGATGCAATTGCTGCAGCCTGACGACGGCATCTGGTGTATGGCAGAGGGACATCAATGAACCGTTCCAACATCGGTGATCGTGGGAGAATGAGATGCGGGTCACCAACAGTCTGACCATTCTCATGGAAACCCGTTGCCCTGCCAGGACGGGTAGAGCTGTCAACTTAACGGTAGCCTGGTGCAGCACACCGTTGTCATGAAGGCGCAGGTCATTGCGCAGCCACGCACAAACAATGCCTTCCATGACCCCGGACGAGTAGAGTAACAGTTCCAAGTCTACCTAGCAAATTCGACTGGCTCTCAGACTGTACAGGGCCCTGCAAGGCTTTCTTCGCGCAGGCACGGGTAATCGATCAAGGGATTTGGGGGTTGAAAGGTTGAGATTGCCTGACAAGTAACGGAATTCTTTCATGCAGAGTCTATGCTGGTTGGCCTTGCTGGCCTTGCCCGGCAGGCCTAATTTGCATAGCTTTCGCATGTTTGCTGGAAGCCCAAGGCTGCAGATAAGCTCCAAGTTTGCATGTCATGGCTGAGGCAATCCTGGGGAGATCATGCCCTAGAAAGATAGTCATGCTAGACAGGAGCCAGGGAGAGTTGGACCTCCACTAAGCATCACGAGAACCGCGAAGTTCCTCCTGCCGTTCACATCTTTCGGGCATCGAGAGAGAAAGTACGGCTGTAAGATTATGCTGATTATGCTTCCAGAAAGCAGGAGCCTCGAAAGAGCAAGCGCGCGCGCCAGGTGATGCAGACTCAGGGCCGGAAGTGCCGATGCAACAGGAATAGCCCTCCTTTCCAACGCAGTCGAAGTTCTAAATGCTGCCGTTGATGGCAGACAGTGGCTTCAAAAGATGCCTGGATGCATACCTACCGCATCTTGCTATGCAAGCATCCACGGGAACTCGGAGGAAACATCTGGCCACTGATTCAACAGTAGATGCAACTTCCTTTACCCAGGAGTCCGAGCTCTTGCGTCTTCGCTGAATCGTGACAGATGACTCCTTCCAGTCTCAAACTACGTGCGGAAGCTCGTGAACGAGCTTTCAACTCCTTCGCAGGTAACCTCAACCGGGACGCGGGAAAGCAATAACAGCCGGGAAAGATCAGGACAGCAAGGCACGCAGGGTCCGACGTTTGACCGACAAAGATTCTTGGATGCTGGCCTCAACCGAAGCTCGCGAAACCTGAACGAGCAGAGATATAGCGACAGCATGGACGTGGGCAACGTCATGCCAAATCTCGCAGAGCTGCATGACGCAGGGTTTTAGTGTCATTCCAAAAGACGCACTCACCTACTGTTGCCAGACCTCCCGGCACCTGCCCTTGGGAGATCTCTGATATAGCTCCCGAGGCTATACTACTATCTTGGTTTCTGAGATTCAATATAAGGCCCAAACCAGAAGAAACCAACAAAAACTTCCGAAACCCGAAGCCCCCGAGCTAAACCCTAAACCCCACTACTGGTACCCTATACTAGACCCGAAGCCCCCCAGGCCTGAGCCTCGAAAGAAGCCCGGTTGGTCATCGAACTCCGGGAGGCCACCGAAATTCGGAGCCAGCAGGTCCTGTAAAACTTCAACTCACGTTTCAGGCCTCTGGGATCATGTTATGTCAGTTTTGTCTGCCCCCAAGTCGGCTCTTCTCTTCTCTGGGGTTCTGTCTGCATCTGTCTGCACTCGGTTTGGGGTTTCAAGGTTGAGGGTTTCGAGGCTGAGGGTTGAGAGCCATCTTCGCAAAAGTTTCCGGCTTGGCTTTCCCGTGTAATCGCCTTGTCGGCCCGACGCCGTGTGGCGCTGCTCGCACCTCAGATCGCAGCATCCGGCGAATTTTAATCGGAGTGGATGAACTTGCACTTCCTGATGTGAGCTGCCACCGAAAGTTTGGAGACCTGGCACAAACCAGCAAGACCGGGTGCCTTGCTTAGACCTTGGTGCTCGATTGTGGTCTTGCCAGATGTATTGGGGAGGCTTGCGGCCTGATATGCCTGATGCTACAAGTATGGGCCACTGGCCGTCTTCCAAAGCACCCAGGTTTCCCTGGCCTCAGCGAGAGGGAGATGAGATCCACAAGCCAGGCCACGGCCCTTGCAAGAGCTTGAGCTCTGGACCAGTTCCCAGGACATGGGCCTGTCGAGAGGAAAGCATAAACGATGCGTTCACCCTCATATGGGTCCAACAGTGGATCCCGTTCTGTATGGGCTTTCCTCATTCTCAACATCCATTTGCACCCATCTTTGACCCAATTCGTTGCTGCGGCGCACCATTTACAGTGTTACAGGGCATCCGACCAGATCTTCCACGGCTTCACACCATCGGAAGACGCAGGCCCAACATGTTCGCAACAACTACGGAAGGCGACACTACCGAAAAGAAACTCCCAAACTGAAATACTCTGGTGGATTAAGGACCATGACTATCATCAATACTACAGGGCCTCAAGTAACTAGTTAACAGTTGGACTAGGATCTGGGGTCTATCATGGTATACCTCTCATAAGTCTCATAAGGAACACCAAGAAATACAGCGCTGCAAACTACTCTCTGTCGAGCGGCCTGCGGCATGAAACCGACGTGTTTGCCCCGCGGCGGCCTTGGCGGAGCATGGCGTTGCCGCTTAAGTCGACCTCTTAAGCGCGAGATGCTTAGAGGAACATGGACAGCCCTAGTAGTTGAGAAACCACACCCTCTCTGATTACAACCACTACTCCTTTTCGCCGCCAGGTGCAGCATGAGAGGGGTGGCGGGCCTCCTGTGGTCCGGCTTGGCTAAGGAGGCGGCATGTGCCAGCGAGCTCGTTGGCGTTCGAACTCTTCCTTCACGCACTGCGGCCTGACTTCGTGAAAAAGAGGTGGGGGGTCAGTGGCGGGAGAGAGAGAAAGAGAGAGAGAGAGAGAGAGCCTTGTACGCCGTGGAGGAAGCTCCTCGTTTCGGCCCTGCGCAGTGACCAAAAGACAAGCCCACACACACAATCGTGTTGCAATGCCATGAGCCGCCTCGACAGCTATACGGCCCGGATTGCGGTCCTGCCATGACAAGTGTTGGTTGATTGAGGTCTCCCAAATTCTGGATTCCGCCATCCTACACAAACCGTACTAGGGGGGTCCAGCTTCCCGGTCATCACAGCAAGTTCTGCATCTTTTCGCGAACAGGCCTTAGTCAGACGGAGGCGCTTGGAGACGTGCGCTTCCCCAGTACAAGTACATAACGTTGCCCGAGTCCGGCAAAAGCTGGGCTCTCACATGGTCTGAGAGTTGGGCAAATTTTTCACGACGAAGCAAATCCCTGCAGTTCCGTCATAGTCACAGCTAGCTACAACAAGCGGCTGCTAAGCATGCGAGGTACAAGCACCACCTCCGTGCCCCCTTCTGTTCTAGCCAGCGGGGGATGGACAAGGCAGCAGGCACTTTTGTCGAGGATCCCACCTGATGTCTCCGCGATTTGCACGAGCCTGGCCGCCAGAGTCTGTATGGGCAGCACGTGGAAAAGCTGTGGCATTCAGCGTGCCTCAGCGGTTCTGAGGTCGTCCGAATCCTGCTCCTCTGCAGACAGGTGCACCAGGCAGCCCTGTTGCTTGAGCTTCCCAAGGCTGTTTGGGCTGTGTTGTCTCATGGAACCACGGATGCTCCAGCTCCTCCTCCGCATCCAGAAATGTCTCGGCAGCCTCCGCTTTCTCCTCCAGAGCTCCTCCAAATGGTTGGGGGGTCTAGAGTCTAGAGTAAGCATATAAGGCATATGAGCGAAAACTGTTGAAGACTCTTCCGCCTTTCATACTATGCGAGGCCCGCAGCTGCGAGCCTGTCACGCTAGTTGATCCGATTTCCAGTGGTTGCTAGTCCAGTCTACTCGTCTGTAGAATGAATGCTGAACGGCAGTCCTGCCCGGGTGCTGAAAGCGCCTCTCCGGCGTCCTCCAGGCAGGAACATCGGAAAGCATGGGAAGGGGTCAGGTTTCCGCCGGATGCACGGGCACTGGCCGATGTGCCTGAACTTGCGCTGCTGCCACCGGCTGTTTCTGCCACTGCCGCCACCGCCTGGGGCTGTGGCTTACGCCGGCCTCGTTCTGCGCTTCGCCAGGAGGCCATGCTATGTCATGCCGCCAGGCCGCCAGGCTTCAGAGGATCTGAGGCAGATACGCGCCAAGGCTTTGAACTCGTTGCGGACCCGGTCACGGTTCTCGTCCGCCTCAATCTCCTGGCCCGGACCATGTATCTGACTGGTCAGGTTCTTTCTTCAGCTCAACCCGCGACACGGATGAGTCTCGCATCTCACCCTTTGTCAGTCGCTTAACCACAGTGGCGCAAATGCCTCGATGATGGCGAAGACGGAGGGCACACGCTCGTCTTCGATGGGAAGTGGCGCAGGGGGCAGCGACTGCCAGGAGGCATGACATCACGATTTCTCTTGCCCCCCTGCCCGCTCTACCGCTCTATGATGACCAATCATAAATGAATACATGTATGCTCCAGGACTCTAGGAGCGTCCGGTGGGTTTCCAATGTACGCAATGCCCACCTTGCCTCTTGCTCATAATTTGACAAGACGGGGGTCCGCCAGTCTGAGGTCGGGTTACCGCAGGACATCAGTAAGGTTTCCCCGACGTAACTTGGCCTTGCAGAGAACCTTACCTAACGGACTCGTAGCCACGATTGGAAGAGCTGAAGTTCTAGAACAAGTGTTGGACGTATCGACCCTGACCCGTTTTCTGCACTCCCCGACTTAGCTTCAGCTACACGTGCTGGTTAGGCAGCACTCAGAGGGCACAGACTTCTCAGACCCAGCCGTACTTTCAACATGGGGCTCCCTCTCTTCTTCCTTCAACGCATCTGCCGAAGACATCCCGGTGAATCGGATATCGCTCCCATCGAATCTAAAGCACCGATTACAAAGACTCCCACAAGGAAGACTATGTCAGTCAGTTAAGGCCAAGGCCTTGTTCGGCCTCTTCAAGGATTCCGACCAGGAAGCCTGGTCCGACAGCCACCAATATCGCCAATTTATGGTAAGCACTAAGCAGACTAAGCACTACTGAAATTTGCTGCTCGTGTTGGTTGCAGTCGGTGGGCAGGGGGTGGGACCATGCCTGACCTGCTCCCATGCTGCTCAACACCCCTGACATCAACGCTTGTTTAGGGGTGAGCGGGGTCTCCCTTCCCCCGTTTTGCGCGAACAAGTCAGCACTGAAGCTTCCAAAGCTCTGAGCAGCTAGCGGTGACCTGTTCCCCACTGTCTTCTACTCCCAGTCTTGCCATGTTGGCGGATGCACCCTAGCGCCTCGGATCCAGACGCGATGGCCAACAGCTCCCTCTCTGCAAGCCTGGCAGATTCTTGTCATCTCACGCCTGGATGGCCCGCCCACAACCCTCTGATGCTCGCCTGCCAGTTGCACGCCTCGAGGCTCGATCTTGGCAAACTGCCCACCAAGGCGCCTCATGCTGCGGTGCCAGAGTGAAGCACAAACTGCTACCAGCGTGAGATATTCCAAGAACATAAGAACCTTCCTGAAGAACCTCAGGACCCCAAGAGCCTTGAGCCTAAGCTCGGGCCTCAGTGAGCTGCTTGCCGTGGCCTTTTCCGCGCACGGCGGCGAGGGAAGCCATCTGCCAAGCCTTCACAAAAGCCGCATCTGCGAGTTCCTTCATTCACTCATTGATTCATTGAAGATGCAGAAGAGCACTCTCAGGATGAACTTTCCAGAGGGCCTCCATTTCGAGCTCCTTCTCTGACGCCGAAGCCTCTCAGGTTTAGGGAGAGCCCCCCTATCAGCATCCACTGCGAGACCCGAACATATTCTGCGGGAGGTCGATCTTCGCAACCCTCACACGAGACCAAACTCGGATTTTGGATCACTATAGGGGCCTCAATTCCGCCGAAACATCTTCAGAGCTGGTGCCTGCTGCACTGCCTGGGAAGGCGAAAGCAAAGGAACCTGGCCTTGATCTCCTTGGCTTTGCTCGCCTCCTGCCAAGACGGGGGAGCACCATACGTACATACATACATACATATATATATATAAGTAAGTGTATATATATATATGTGTATGTGTATATATATATATATATGTATCATTATATATTATATATACATATACATATACATATACGTATATCAGAGCATCGGCAGACAACGCTCTTGTTTCTCGCTCACCGTGCTGTTCCGTTCAGGAGCGGCGATCATTGCTTTCAGCATTCGAACGAGCTTGCACAGGACTTGCTCTGCCTGCCTTGACAGCATTCGGGTCCGGGGCAATAACCAGGTCCTCCGAAAGCAACAGCTGGGCCTGCCAGTGCGCAGTGGAGGGCTCTGTGACGGCTCAGGATTCCGAAATCAAGTCAGTGCAAAGCTCCTAGAACGCCGGCTTGGGGATTTAATTCAGGCACGAACACCTACTAAGAGTCGTGGTAACAGCAGTAGCCTGCAGAGTTCAGCCTGAGAAAATCAACGGCATGGCTCTCCATCACGGGCTGACCCATGCTCGACAAAATCTTGGAAACTCGGTTGTTGGAAGCTTTTTGGGAACTTCCAGGTTTGGGGGTTAGGTCCCTTTACGGAGCCCTGGAGAGCAGGCATCCCGCTTTCTTGGGAGGTCCTCGTCGACACCATCCAGGCGTACTTGCCACTGCGCGCCGTCTCTTTTGAGCAGCCTCAGATACTGAATGATAATGACAGCGCTTGGTTCCTTCACTAGTATCACTGATACCAAGCACGACAACGCACTCTTCGTCCCAAACACACAAGCTAGCTACGTCATGGCCAAGGGTCCAGATGCACAACAACTTTTGGCCCGTCAAGGCTAAGATCTGTGGCACTCGTTCTGCGCTTGATGTGTGCTGATTTCTGCTGCTGCCGACCAGAACTCAGGCAGCAGCACTCCCCGCTTTCCAACCAGCTGAGAAGGGCCTCCCTGCTTCACCACCACCTCTGGGTTTCCGAAAATAGGGGACCCTAACATAGTACCCTGAATAGCAGGATCCCCATTATAAAAACCAGAAAATAAGGTACCCCTAATTTTCGGAAACTACCACCTGGGCATCGGAAGCTACAAGTTTCGGAGGTGCCGGACAGAAGGGTCGAGTTTTTGAATCAAGCACTATCTTGAGGAGTTTCTTCAGACAGGGGTCTCTTCAAGTGCCGCGGAGAGCTTGAGGAATAATATTGAATGAACAAGCAAGATTTCGAATGAACGAAGAATCATGTATTGCTGCTCATGCTTACCGAGATCCGGAAACCAAATTGATCTGCCGACCATTGCCCCCACCGTGTGCCAACATCTGACACAGCACTTCCGCAGAGTCGGCACATTTCGGAAAACAAAACATGAACAAAAAGGGAACATAGTAAAACTTAGCAAAACGCGAAAAAAGACAATGGAAAAGCTATCACGAGGTAAACAAAACCACATCACATACAACAAATCTCAAACAACATAAAAACATGAGCATATTCGCACTTGTCCTGTTCTCGTTGTTGCAAATGATTTCGCAACGCACGCAAGATTTTCGAATCTAGTCTCCCGTTCGGACTTGGTTGTGTTCGGCAGCAGTTTTGTTCGGAAGACAAAGCGGTGGACAGGAGCCTGGAGTGCCTCCTGGCCATATCCCCGGACTGGAAGTCCGAGCCTTCTGTTTTGAGGTTGTCGGAATGCTGATGATTTCTGAATTATTTGGTATTTTTCCGATATGTGTGCCAATGTCGCATGCTGTGTGTCCCGCAACCGAAGATACCCCCTCCTCAAGCGCAAAGAAGGCTGAGCGCGCCTGGAACCCTCTCCGCAGCTGGCTCAGGCCGAACCAACCTGCATATCGGTGCAAACAGGGTTGTGGCAGTTCTGATGCAAGGCTCTGTAAAGATCCACCCGACCACAAATGCGGAACAACAGGGTAGTACGACAGAATGTTGTACACGACACTTGGAAGTTCTGGGAAGTGGGCCGCCAGGAGGGATCTGAAGCACCAGTTCGACACTCGTGGCCTGCAACGAGGTCAGACTGTGCAAGTACGTGACACTGCATTCACCAAAGGATGGAGGAATGGAATGGATGGATGGCAGGATGGAATGGCGTACGTGCGAACGAATGTGATAATGCGCGCATGTTCCTAGGTCTGCATGCATGCGTGTAACGTGCGTGTACGCACGCATTCATGCCTAAACACATATGTGTCTATAGACTATAGACATAGATGCACACACACACACACACCAATGCGTATATGATCGTCCCTATCTCTCTTGCCGTCTATGGACAGTGCATCAGTTTGTGCTTACTCATATTCATAAAGATACCATAGAAGATCATGGTGGCATTGATGGGACGCTGATGGCAGCAGAGAACGAACAACAACGTGGCAACAAAGTGCAAATCCCGTCTTCATGTTTGACATGAGGAAGAAAATGACTATCGCAAGCGGTCACAGACTTCCGGAGCACGAGCAACCATGCCGCGCCATGATGTACACCAGGTTGCAGGACTCGTGCTCTCGCAACCTTGCATCACCGGGAAACGGGAAGCAGATCAATTTGCAGGTGGTATGATAACCTGCTGCAGGCTGACGATCGCAGAATCATAGATATACATCTCAGCCTCACCCCCAGGTCAGAGCTCCCAGCGCTTCGAGCAACTCCTGCTGACCCTCCTGGGACACCTGCCAAGGGCTTAGCTAACCGAACACTTCTACTTCTATGATAGCCTGCTGCTCAGCAACTGTTCGTTTTCAACTTCAGTGGTCACATCTGCACCGCAGGCAAACAGTCCACCTGAAAGCCAAAGTCTTTGAAGAGACCTGGCTGGTCGATATTGTAGGTGGATCCCCCGGCACTTCTGTACCGACCTAAGAAAGCCGAGCTGCTCTTGCAGGCATCGATCAGAATGCGCTTGGCCTCTCGATGAGACATGCAGCAACCGATGGAGTCTGCACAAACAACATAACACATCGTCTGTGCATGGTGAGCTGCGCTTTGAGTTTGAAGCTTGAAGGGTCTGGAGGCTTTTAAACGTCGACTCTTCAGAGGCTGCTCCCTGCCCGTGGTCTTTTTCAGCGAAGCTGTGCCTTCTCTATGGTCAGCTGCGTCTCCTGGCTTTTCTGCACCTGGCATGTACTCTATCTTGTTCGCCATCTTTCTGTGAAGCATGCCTGAGAATCTTCTGACACGGCCGTGACATGGTCGAGCTCAGAATGCTTAGCTGGCTTCCACAGGACGGCATACCCCTGGCAGCTGCGCTTTCTTGGGTTAGTCTAATGGGCACACTGCCCGTTTCAAATCCGCACCTCCGTGACGCTTCGTATCCTGTCCGGAAGCTCTCTTTGGAGGCCTGCCGGCTTGATTCGTGGCAGTGACAAGACCGGCGAACTGAACTCGTGAATCCGATAGCATCCTATTCCCTTGACGCCTTCGACGGCTGGCCGCACTTGCTTCCTTAAAATCGCACGCAGCGCACGTGGAGCTGTGAAACACCAGGTCTTCTATCGCATGGCGGAATCTGACACTCTCACCCAGGCAGCTGCAACCGTGAGACTTCTTGTTCCGGCGATGTGTCATTTCGGAGACGTGTGCAATTGCCAAGTAGCCAGGCTGATAGCATATGTGCTGGCCGTCTGGGTCCGGAGCGAATTTAGGATCCTGTGCATGTGCATCAAGAAGGCCTGCAACACCACGTAACAATGACCGGTCTTGATGCATTTCTGTCAGCCACCAGCCTTTGCATCTTCTTCATGCAGAAGCTTGTCATCTGGCGGCGTCTTGTCGCCTGGAGCGTCTGAGATGCATAGGACAGGAGTAAACAACTTAAGCAGATCGTGGCTTCATGCAGGCCAGTGCCGACAGAGTGTGATGGGCCCCGTTCACGCAAAATGCAGTTGCAGTTCACGAGACTGACGATCGGAGTGACCCTAAGACATCATCGCAAGGATCATGACCACCTATGTATCACCAGACAGTCATCAAACAACTGCGATCACGGGCGAGTGACGCAACGGCAGCTATCGTCAGCATAGTCATAGCAGTAATGTCATGAGTGGTAATCACAGCAATATCAATATCCATAAGAAGGCACCTGCATACGTTTGATCCGAGGCCAGCGCTGAGTCTTGACAGGAGATCTCCCGGCATGCCGCCGTTCTGAAGGTTGCAGTTGGGGGCGTGTTGTGTGTGCGTGCGTGCGTGCGTGTGTGTTTCCATGTTACTTCGCATGGTGTGGGTTGCTGCCCGTGTAGATAATATACTCTCAGATTCTGATCCGGCGCGATTGGGTTTTGGGCTCCGCAAGCTTCACGGGCTGCAGGGCAACTACCAGTACCTGCCTTGAAGAAGCCTTGGATTCTCAAGAAACAACCTCCTCCGGCCAGGCCTGTCGAACACACAGAACACCAGCTCCCGGCTTGTTCTCAAACATCCAGCCGGAACCTGGTGGATCTTACTACGAACAACCTTGATGATCGCACTTGTACTGCTTCTGTCGGGATAAAGCACCGTCTTCATCGTCCCCCTCATCGTTTTCATCCCCACTTGGGAGCCAGGCTGTGTTGCTTGCAAAAGGCAGTCGTCACCAGGTGCCACTAGTCACTCGAGAGTCCGAAGGAAAGCAGCAGAGTTGCAGCTGCAAGCTTAAGCACGCAGCCGTCCGCCAGCTTCAAATACCGGACGCCATCCGTGCCCACGTGCTCCTGCCCGAAGCAGACCGAAAGGACGTCTCCGAGCAGCTCCAAGCAGAATATCCCCACCAACTTCAGCAAGGGTGGAAATGACAGACGAGATCCCCCGCCGCCCCCGATTCCTGGCAAGCTCTCTGAACCGGCTCTTGCTGGTACTTCTATCGAGTGACTGGTCGGTGGAAAGGCCTCGGAGACCATGAACCGCTGACCCGGCCGCAGGGTGACCTGAGTCCTGCGGGCTGGTCCAGATCAGCGATGTCTCGACCACTCGGACAGCATGGGTATTTCGGCTGCTAAAGCTCCCATGAAATGGTTGCATTCCATGCAACTCGGGCATGTCCTGGGGCCATCAATGTCCGGAGTTGCACCTGGCATGGAGCTCTTCAAAAACAGTCGCCTCCACATCTGATCCGGCTTCCCAGCAGTTAGTGAAACACTAAACACTCAGTGCAGCGTTGCGGATCATCGTGGTCAGCAGGGTGCAGTCGAAAACTGGCTGACATGCAGAGGCCACGCACAGCCACATCCCGGAAGGCAGGCGGATTGTAGAGCCACACCCGAGCCTGAGAGCACAACGTTGTGTGCGTATGCGTGATTGTCCGGCATAACTATCCTGCTCTCGAAGACGCAGCACTGCCATATACACTTCCATACACAAGAGACTTTTCGTGTTACTGCAGGTGACAGCAATGCCAACCATACGAAGATGCATCCCAGACGCCTCAGCGGAGGCCTTTTGCTTGCTAGGCCCGGAGGATTCTGCTGGCTTCTCCTTGAAACATGGGCGCATTGCCTTTTGGCAGACTTTCCACTGCCTGATTACTCGGCTCCTTCTCCATGAACACCAAGCTGTAGTACTGCACCTCATTCAAAAGGGTTGGCTTGAGATGAAATATGCGTCGACGATGCCTGACCGTACAAACGTCTGCGACATCGCCGAAGCCACGAACGCTCCGTTTGCACTGTACAGTAAGCGATCTCCAGCATGCTTCGGCTGCCTCTCTAGTCTCTGCATGTCATACCTTCAGCCTGTGGGAAGAGCAAGGCCGCCAAGAGCGGGGCCCACTGGTCACCAACATTGCGGTCAAATTCCACCAAGAGGTCGCCCCCTTGCGAAATGCGTGATGCTTTTTCTCTAGCATACCAAAGCCTCCTTGTACCCCGAACGAACAATCATAAATCATCACACACGCATGAAGAGCACGCCATTGGGCTTGCGCCTGCATCCAGACGCTTGGCTACGCCCATCTGCCTTGGCTCAAGATGCCGACATGAAGGGATATCGGATACCACCGTGGGTCTAGCACATATGACATATGTGCTGAGTGTGTAATGAAGACTGGACGCGCCAAACATGGATGGTCAAGCCAGCTCGAAGCTACGACGATGTGCAATCTAAGCCGGACGTAGCTTACCGGACCGCAAAGCTAGACTGATGCAAGAAGCACAGATCTCAGAGAACACTCATGCATGTGGTCCAGAAGAACCTGTTGTCTGCCGCAAGCTCAGGCGCCGGACCCTCGGCGGATGTGGAACGAACCGCAATGGAAGCTTCGCCTACCGACAGGGGCAGGCGGACGGACGTGCAAGACCACGGGTGAGCACTGGCAGAGCCTCACGTGGAGAATGTCTCCCTTGTCGAAGAGGACCTGCAAAGGGACTTCTCATGTTTTCGGGGCCGAAGACCGCAAACTTGTGAACTCGGCCTTGGCAAGGTAGGGCAGATTCTCACTGTAGACCTCAAGAGAGCAGGAGAGACTCAGATTACTGTAGACTCTGCAGTGTTCGATCGCAGCTGCTGTGCAGCAGCTAAACGAGCGCCGAACCCATTGCTTCTTTCGATGATCGCGGAATCGGATGTACCTGCCAGGCACAGTTGCCTCCTGCCGAACTACACTGGCACTTCTGCCAATTTCAGGGAACGGGTTTGGAGGCACGCGTCGCCATCTTCATCCACTTCCACGATCTGGCCCCGCTGCCTCGATGCTCTGGAACTTTCCACAGACTGCACCGCTAGCTTCTTATCTGCGAGGTATATACTAACTGTTACTAACTAGTCTCTCGTATGCAGTAGAGAAGTATTTTAATTCCATGTGAGAAACTCCAGTTTCCGAGCCACACTAAACACAGAAGGATGCGGACGCACTGCTTTTTCCCCTGCCCTCCTCGAACACTGTACAACCGAGAGAGCAGATGTTCAGATGGGGGGAAGCTGCCTGCACATTCCAGCTCCACCCTTAGCTGCACGCCTCCGGCAGCTGGCCGACGGCCTCTCTTCAGCGCAGGCCCAGCATCCGCAAGGTGAGCCATCCGATGTGAGGAACCAGCGCGAGGCCAAAACGAGCGTTGGAAACGGGATGGACCTCCAAAGGAGCAGCACCGTTCTCTTGAAGTTGGCGACGAACAGAAGCCTTTCCATGCCAGCCCTTTGGGTCCACACGAAGATCCTGAACAAGGCCGAAGTGATCGCTCAAGAATATGTCACGCGATGCATCAACTGCATGGGTCGCCCACATCTCGCATGGCTTTTCAGGCACCAGAGCACACTTCTCCGACACCAGAATTCGATCCAGCCGCATCTTGCGCACCTCTCCAGGGATGTAGCGGGGAATCATGGAATTCAACTCTGCGTCAAAGGTGTAACCGGGATCCGCATCATCGGATTCGCCGAAGTGTGTCTCCGCCCAAGCATCGAGCAGGCCGTTGGCGGGTACTACGGCATCTTCAGCGGTGTAGTGCAAGTTCAAGTCACCGGCCACGAAGAAACCGTCCAGACGCTGCTCTCTGGCAAAAGCCACCACCCGCGAGAGCTGCTTGGCTCTGACTGCCTTGTTCTGAGGGCTCTGGTAGGCCACAGTGTGCAGGGAGCATACCGCTATCTTTCGGTTCGCAATCTCCAGCACCCCGAATATGGCCTCCCGCTTCATGGACTCCATCCGCAATGCATAGCAAAGTCTCATGGGAAGCTTGCTAAACATGACACAGCCATGTGAACCAGATATTGTACCGTTCGCACCTGTCGGCAGCTCGGAAACGTAGTAGGATTGGCGCACGTACTCCGAATCTAGCAGATAACGAAGGCTGTTGGCAGTGACTTCATTCATGACCAGGATGTCTGCGTCCAACCTTTTGAGCTCTTCAACCAGTGCCGCAAAGCGCTTCTCACTGTCGATGGCCAGACGAACGAACCAAGGAAAGCAGTCTGCCAAAATGTTGAACGTCGCCAGTCGCAGGTGGACTTCGTCGCGTGCTTGGCTGGCTTGGTCTGCGACAGGAGCACCTTCTTCAGCCATCCACCCAGTGCCAGTCCATCTGTACAGGCATATCCGTCGCTCGGCCATGCCGTTCGCTTGCAAAGACACAAAACGAAGACCGTGGTGCCCAGAAATGCTGAGAGAATCCTCTACCAAATTCTACGGCTCAAAGTCTCGTGCAATACTTCTGCAGTAAGTAGGTATGCTGAAGCCTTACGCGCACAAGAACTCAAGGTTTTGAGAATGCAACATCGACGGCGGAGAGTCGACATCAGACCAACTTGCATCCGGAGCCGCTCGGCAATACGACCAGTGGCAAACGAGAAAGACCTTGAACTTATTGAAGCTTGTGCGCTCAAAGTCTGGGAATCGGCGATGCAGACAAGCAACCATTGACCTCCTCTCTCTTTACGAGGTTGGGGGTCAAGGTTCAATTCCTCTACCGAAGCTGCCCTTCAGGTCCATCCAACTCTCTACATTCTACATCCTGAGCCCTTCCAAAAGCGCCAATGCGCCAAGCGCCTCCCCTCCCCTTGCAGCCTTGTAAGAAGCTCTTGACGGAACAGAAGCGACGACACCCCCCCCTGTGAGCTAATGAGCATCATATAGGGGCCTTAGAGAAGTGCTTTGGGGGGTCAGCCATAGAAACGAATATTGCTAATAAAAGGGCCTTCATTTTTAGAATAGGGTTTGGGGGTATGTTATAGTATAACCATAATTAGGAAGCCCCCAAAATAGTATAGGTAGTAAAAATTGCCCTCTTATATTGTAGTAACAACCTCAAGAACTTCCTGAGCCGGGCCCTTGGCCCTCGAAGCAGCTCCTCGCCACCCTCCGAGTCGGAGATGAAATCCTCCTCTGAAGCTCGGGGTTTCGGCTGTGGATCCATGCATAACCGGGGAGTCTTCGTGAAGAAGGCTCTGCTTAGGCTTCAGGGCTCCGGGCATGCTATCACCGGAGGATGGAAGATAGACTTTCTGAGCATGAGGGCCTAGAAAAAGCTGGAGAGATTCCGGGACCTTGGTTCACATGCACTTCCCGAGGAGCACTTCTGACTGCGAGAGTTCGGCTTACAGTACGCGGCCGCCAAGACAGACATGATGTTTCTGCACCTTTGACCTAGTGCAGGTGTTCGCGCTCAAGGTCTAGAGGTGAGCATGAGCAATCACAAGTTCCGATCTCGAACGATGACGAAGTCTTCGACATCCAGCGTGTCCAAGTCCACGACCTGCAAGGCAGCGAGAAAAGATGCCATATACTTGGAATTACAAGGCACGCGTCCGGAGTGAAATGGCGAAGCTCTGGAAGCCACAACTCTAAGAAATCAGAAACGGTTGGACTTCTTGGAGTTGCACGTGCGACGCGGCACTTGCACCTCGAAATCATCATCCACATCGTCATCGCTGTACACGTCCGGGGCATCCGGCGCGACTGGGGCAGGGGCCGCCTCGCGGTGCACAGAGCATTGCAGATGAGTGAGGCAGACAAAGAGACGGAGATGCACGGACAGGACCACAGGGAGGGAAAGTAGATACAATTAGCTGGACATCTACCCAGCTGGTCTAACAAGAGATGGACGAAGCTAGAGATGTTGTGCGGAGAGGACCTGCGAAACGCAGCATGAACTACGCCCAAGCCTGAGGCACCTTCTTCAGAGTTGTGCTCTTCTGAGCCCTCCTACGCTCCTCTGCCTCCTCCTCCTGTTGACGAAGAGCCTGTCGGGAAGCATGCGCGGGTGCGGGGCCGGGAGGCGGTCTTCAACTCCCGATCTTCTTGGACCCTGAGAAGAGATCTGCCAGCCGGGCCTCTTTTCTTCTTCGCTCTTCCTCGCGCCTGCCCCAAGAAGAGTAAACAGGATCAATAGACACCCTACCAATTTTTGCTAGCAGTGAAACGTTTACAATTTTGTTGTGCTAGTGCTGCTAGAGAAAAGGCAACTAATTCAATACCAGCAGCAGATCAAGACCAATGACCTGGGTGAACCCGCCGGGATGTGCAGCACACGCAACTGTCATAGGAACATAACAGCATGCAAACAGCAATGGGCACAATGCTGTGACGCCCGTGGCGACGACAGCACAGAGTTGTCTTGCTGCTGTTGCCAGTCTCACTGATGTGCAGGTTTTCTATTGGTCATGAGGATTGCTTTCATTTCGGCAGCGTGCAACCATCATCGTCATTCTCATCATTACTGATTATCATAAGGTGCGCCGGCATCAGCATCCTTGTCACCTGATCACTGCTATGATGCTATGACGTCAGAAGTCAGTTCTTTGGCTCACGAATCGCTTCAGCATCATCGGCCAGTTTGGGTGGAAGAGGTGTGCTTCTTCAGCAGCTCTTGTACCTTTGTAAGGGAGTAGGGATAGCTTGGATGATCCTTCAAGGAAGGATCCTCCGCTTTCCACTTCCGGGCATAGTCCTCCCACTCACTTTCGCACTCCTCGAGGAATCGCTCCAGGGGATGGCATTCGAGCTGCTTCCTTCGCTTCAGCGCGCCGAGTCCCGCCTGCATCTCGCCCAGCGCCGGGCAGATCGCAGGCAGGATGAAGCCCAAGGGGAGCGCAGTCTTGGCGTCGAAGACGTAGGCTGGCCGAGATATCGCATCGTCCCGTTCATTGCTGGGCAGCTGTTGGGACTCAACCACTCTGTGCCAGTCTTTGGGGAACCACATCATGTGGCTTGCATGTTGCACCCAACCGATCGCACCTGGAGAAAGGCTGGTGCCGCCAAAGTTGCTGGCATGAACTCCCGGATGCTCACTGGCGGTATATCGGCGGTTGTCGGCATCAGGCCAGAAGCCATACATGGTCTTGATCTTT